TTTAGCAATTTTCTTCTCATTGTAAGAAAGTTTCCAAGAATTGTAGTATTGTAACACTATTCACAATTTGACATCTATTTTGCCCAAAATTCAGACACTAAGTTTTTGTATAGAATACAGCATTTTCTGTGATGATAGAAACATTTTCTGCATAGATTCTCTAAAAAAAAAGGTTTTGTGTGAATGCATCCTGAACTACAGAGATTCTCTTTGTCAGGCTTTCCTAAGACTTGGAAAAACAGATTTTCATACCATTTTGAGCATGTCTAAATATTCATTCATCCTTACATGCCAATGGTGTGGTGAATCCATTCTGGGCATAAATCCAAACTCTAAGAGATGAACCCTATCCTCCAAATAGGCTAAGTACCTTGAAAATAACTTTAAAGTTTGGAGTAGGGCCCAGTGCAGATTCACTGACCACACCATTACAGAAAGCATCCTACAGTAGTTTGGAATTGAAAGAAGTGGAAGTTGTAGAAGGAGACACAATCATCATCATCATCATAATCATCATCAAATTGGCTGTTCTCCTTTCTTCACAACCGTGGACAGTGAGTGGAGAGGGGAGGCCTGGTCTCTGAGAGGTCCCCTCTATCTTGTGGGGTTCCTCAGGGAGCCATTCTCTCCCCTCTGTTATTTAACATCTATATGCAACCACTTGCTCAGCTGGTTCGAGGTTTTGGGCTTGAGTGTTACCAGTACACTGAGGACACTCAGCTTATGTTGAAGATGGAAGGCCGGCCAGACTCTGTACCCGATAATTTTCATCAATGCCTTGAGGCCGTTACTGGATGGCTGTGTGCCAGCTGGTTGAGGGTAAACCCGGCAAAGACAGAGATCCCATGGCTGGGTCGACCGGGCAGTGGGGATATCCAGCTGCCTACCCTGGATGGTGAGGTGCTATGCCCGTCACCATTGGTAAAGAGTCTGGGAGTCCTTTTGGACTCTCTGCTGACGATGGAGGCTCAGGTCTCCGCCGTTAGCAGAACCGCCTTTTTTCATCTGTGGCAGGCTAGATGGCTGGCCCCCTATCTGTCCAGGGACGACCTAGCTATGGTGGTCCAGGCCACGGTCATCTCAAGACTGGACTACTGTAACGCCCTCTACATTGGCCTTCCTCTACTGGTGATCCGGAAGCTCAAATTGGTACAAAATGCAGCTGCTCGGCTTCTTGTGAGAGCTCCGATGAGATGCCACATAACACCAATCTTACTGCAGCTGCATTGGTTGCCAATTGAGCACCGGATCACTTTTAAAGTGACGGTACTTACCTTTAAGGCCTTATATGGTCTGGGGCCGATGTACCTAAGGGACCGCCTCACCCCCTACCAACCCCAGAGATCACTCCGTTCTGAGGACCAAGATTTATTGGAAGTCCCCAGTTTTAAAACATTACGTCTGACAGCAAGTAGACGCAGAGCCTTTACAGTAGTGGCACCATCGCTCTGGAACACTCTGCCACCAGAAGTTCGTGCCTTGCGGGACTTATCAGCCTTCCACAGGGCTTATAAGACATATCTGTTTCAACAGGCTTCTGACATTTGATCTGTTGTTTTAATTTGTGTTAGATTCCAGTTTGTTTTGTAAGCCGCTCCAAGCCCTAGGGGAGTGGCGGCATATAAGTTTGAATAATAAATAAATAAATAAATCTTTATTTATACCCTGCCTTTCTTCCCATGGGGATGACCTGAAGAGACCTTAAAGATCTTCTTGTCTAATTATCCACTAATACAGGAAAGCAGCAACTAAAGATAGGTAGCTGACTATGCTCTGCTTAAATATTTCTGACAATGTGCCATCCTCTGAGGCTGTCCCACTTCCAAATAAATCATAACATTAGAAAGTTTTCCCTAATATTTACTCAGAATTGCTACTTTTTTGCTGCTGCTACTACTACTTCTTGTAGTTCTTTGAAAGCAATTCATTTTGTTCCATCATCTATATGACAATGTAACACAATGAGGCTTTGAGATATAAGCATGGTTTGGGAAGCAACACTGGAGAGAAAGGGGAAAGCCCTTCAGATAGTCCAGATACAATAAACATTGGAATGGAGAACAAAACAAAAAGTTATTTTAGCAACAGCTTTGGTCAGTCTCAATCTCCCATGGTCTGTGGGCAATGTCAATTCTAAAGCTAGACTGGAAAAGAGTCATGACAGAATTTCTCTTCCAACATTCAGTGCTTGCTGGATATAATTGCAACACCAGTTGGCCAAGCATAAACACCCCTCTTTTCTAGGGCTGGGCGGTTTCGTTCGTTAATTTTGTATATCGTTTTTTTCCCCGTTAATTTCCCATATACGAAACGATATCAAACTTTTTTCCAAACCCGGAAGTGTATTTTCAAAATCGAAACAGCATGCGCCAAACATTTTTGTATTTCCGTCCATTTCGGAAATACGTAAGATGCTTGCTGGGAGCTCTCCTCTCTCTCCTCTCCTTAGCCAGTCAGAGCCTGAAGGAGGAGGAGGAGGAGGAAGAGGAGAGGGTGGGGAAGGCGCCGGCTGAGCAAGCGAGCGAGAGGGCGAGCAACCCTCAGCGGGAAGGCGGCCCCGTCCCTCCTTCCTCACCTTTGCGGTGGGTGTGCGGGCCTGACTCGGCGGCGGCAGCGCTTGAGGGCCCGCCAGAGTGAGTGCCTGCCTTCCCTCCTTTCCCTTCCTCTTTTCTTTCTTCTCCTTTCCCTCCTCTTGGTGGAGAAAGAGAGAGAGAGAGAGCCCGCAGGACTCAGGAGGGTGGGATGGAGCTGGGAGCAGCGGGGAGGCTCAGTCTGTTTGCCCTGTGGCTCTTTTTGGCAAGCATTTTCTGCCAAATATTTATTATTATTATTTTAAAAAATTAATAATTAAATTAAAAAAATATTGAAAAAATATTGGAAAAAAATTCGTTGATGCTTTGTGCATGCGCAACCGCGTTTTGTAAATATTAACGAAATTTCGTAAATACCAAACTTTTTTTTATGGAAAATTTCGGATATATTTTTAAATACAAAACGCTGAGGCACCCTAAAAACGAAACGATATTAGAAACAAATTTTTCCGTTGTTACCCAGGCCTACTCTTTTCCCCTTGCTTTTCACCCCAGTTTCATGATCAGCAGCTATGCATCCAAACTCTACTAAATGTGCTAAGTTTCTATTTAATTTACTTTATGAAACAGCTGATATAAATCCCAAATCTGTACTGTACTGTTTCATAAGGAAAGTTGAGCCTCAAGGTTGCTCAAGGAAACATATTGGGTGTTAAGTATTAGCTTCTTAGGTGGTGAATAGCAGATTAAATTCTGTTTACATTGGGATTATATTGAATTTGATCAGTTAAGAGCTGTGCAAACACCCAGACACTGTACAGGTATCTAATCTAGAACTATATTTGCATGTGACAGATGTACAAATATGCTCAGTGTGAGTATAGGTGTACAAGTGAGACACCCATGATAGTGAATAATATAATACACCCTCTTGCTTTTATGCAGCTTCCGTCCCTCCCAAAGGGCTAAGGAAAATTCAGTATAAGCATACAATAATGTTATCACTCTGCCCCGACTAATTAGATAAAACAAAACTAGATTCCCTTAGCTGAAGTAACAATAACAGAGTTGCTAGACATGACAGGGAAAATCCAAAATTAAAATATTCCAATAGGAACAGATTATGATCCAAAGAAAGTAATACAAAACATGCTTAGGTTCCTTTGAATTATCTGAAAATTATTAAATATATGCCACACCATGTCTTCATTCCTGAATTTCCATCAGAATTATTAGCGTGACTGGACAATACACATTTTGGCGCCTCAAATATTAGCCCTGTTTTGGGGTATATTTCACCTTCTGATTCAAAAAAATGACACCAGTTTTCCCCTATCAACTCTTGAGATACAAACATATGCCAGATGAGGCAGAGGGCCTTCTTGGTGGTGGCACCTCGTCTTTGGAACGCCCTTCCCAGGGGGATTAGGCAAGCCCCCACTCTATCTGCCTTTTGTAGGGATTTGAAAACCAGGATGTTTCAGCTAGCTTTTGAGAACAATTAGTCCCTAACCATATATGCCCAGTCCCTAAGCCATTAGAAGTACTCTCTTTTGCACTTCATCCACTGCCCCGGTCCAATAGTTTGCTATTTGCACTACCCCCGCCCAGCCCTAATATAGCTTGACCAGGTCCAATTTAGAAATCTAGTTATTAGTTTATGTTGAATGTAGTCTGATAGGAGCTCCAATGCACTCTGTTTTATTTTGCCATGTTCAACGTGTTTTATTTCATGATGATCCTATTTTAATGAGTTTTATTTTATGGATTGCTTTCATTTTATGTTTCTATGGACAATTGTCCCACATGTAACCCGCCCCAACTCCCTTTGGGGAGATGGTAACGGGGTATAACAATAAAAGTTATGCAAGGCTTTTATGAATTAGGTAAAGGGAAAGAAATTCTGTGTGGCTGGATTTAGATGGCAGAGATTGGATTGCATGATATACAGTCAGTATCATGTTTGGAATTTTGATGGTTTCAAATTAAATTATTATTTATGTGCATTTTTGCACAACTGGCATTTTATCCCCGCAGGAAGTAATAATGCATCATTAATATTTCCCCTGTTAATAAACACTTCATTAAAAAGGAAATGTTGAAATTATTTGCCTATACATTTTGAAATAAATGACACTTATTCCTCAAAGGTTTACTGATGATTGGGCTGTTTATATTCTTAAAAGAGATACATTCCTTCTTTGTAATATGTACTCTCAGAATTGCATCACTTGTCATCTGGGGCCAGGTTTTAGTCTGTTAATGGATCATGACCTAAAACAAAATGGAATGGGACTGGTAACTTTCACTAAAGAATCGCAAGGTCTGGAGGGGCAAAAGCGAAAAGAGACAGATAACAACATTTAGCAGTAAAGAGGCTTTCACATTATACCTCTCAGCCTTTGTTTTCAGATTGCAGCAATATTTGTAATAAGTATAATCATACTTATTTCATTTTTATCACCTTAGCACCTCAAAGCAAAGTGACCCTCATCCCGCCAATGCAAACAACACTAGCTGTCAAGGGTAAGTTAGCCATAGTTTAGATTTCTCTGTCAACCAAACCCTTTTCACAATGATGGATTGGTTTTCTTTCAATTCATTGCAATCAGTCTTCAGCTGTTGTACTCCAGAAAATAAGAACAGAAACTGAAAAGGTAATTGGTTTCGCATATTACTTAAAGATGAAAAGAAGAGTAATAGATTCTACAGAGGAATTATAGTCATACATCTGAGTGAATTGAGGAAATATTCTATCCATGGTGTTTAAACTATTTTGGGGATAGGATCAATTGAAATCATGACTCTTGGATGAATACATTGGTATGTGGATGAATCAGCATAGAACCTTTACAGATTTTTTTTAATCCACAGCTATAAACCCTCCTCATAATTCAAGATTGTGCAGCACATGGGGCAACTTCCATTTCAAGACCTTTGATGGAAATATCTATAACTTCCCTGGACTCTGTAATTATGTTTTTGCGTCACACTGCAAATCCCCTTATGAAGACTTCAACATCCAAATACGGCGTACTGAGTTTGATAATGTTGCTACCATTGACCACATAGTCATAAAGCTTGATGGAACAGGCATTGAATTGACCCCAAACATTATTACTGTCAATGGAGAACAGTAAGTTTAGCCATTTTTGAAACAATAATATCTCTTTATTATTTCTACGCAGGATTTTTTCCCCTGAAAAATTGAAGTTAGATCTTTATTAATGATAATTTTATATTTGCCATTTTTGCCTTCTGATCATTTTTACTTTATCTCCAGTGTCAATCTGCCTTACAGTAAGTCAGGAATCCTGATGGAGAGAAACTCAGATTATTTGACAGTAAAATCCCAGTTAGGTGTTCATCTTATGTGGAACGGAAAGGATGCCCTTCTGGTAAGAATCAAATTCAGATATTGCAAACTTAAAAGGAATAGTTCAAAATTTTGGTCTTAATTTATATCTACTGTAGCTTGTTGTATTAGTAACATCCAATACACTATGGTTTACATTAACTATGACCTGTATAAGTAACTAACCAGTTTTTGATGAATGTTATGAAGCTGGTTTATTGAAACACAATTAACAGTAATCAAGAATTTTGCTAACACACTGAACTGTGATTTCCTGGATTTAAAAGCATAAACCTTTGAACTCCACCTTGAGGGTGCACCATACAGGGTACAGACTATGAGTACTGGCCTAAGATCTACTTTGGTTTGTTCTTATTATGTTAGTTTGGTATGACATTCTGACACAACCATTACATTTGACCATTGTGTCACCAATATCTGAAAAGAGTTTCAAATCAAATATGAAATGAAAATAAATTTGACTATCAGTCACTAGAAATCAAACCAGTTGGGTAGTTGTCAACTTGATTGTAAATATTTGATCCATCTCCATAGATAACTTGTTAATGCAAATCTTGACATCCCTTGTAACTTTTAATCATAATACTCAGTGAATTAGATATTCACTATTACTTCTCACTGGCTTTAGGTGGAACTGGATGAAAAATATATGAATCAGACCTGCGGTCTTTGCGGGGACTTCAATGGAATTACAACATTCAATGAATTGATTTCAAATGGTAAATAAAGAAAAAATATATAAGCAATTCTGTTTTTATTGTTTTAAACATGGGATAATTATCTGTAAAAAGACAATATTTATTTTGGCAAACATGCAGGTGAAAGACTTGATCTGACAGCTGTGCAGTATGTGAAAACGACCAATATATGTCTGTTTGATCTCATACAAATACTCTTAGCCTGTAGTCTTTGTTTTGCCTACAGTTTTTGCCTACTCTTTGCTTGTTTTCTTGTAACTAATCATGTAAACATATGTACTTTTAAAAAGTGGACTCCTATCTGAAATGTAGTAAACACTTCAAGTGTTTACCATATTCATTCATTTATTCATTCCTTCAAATTGTCCTGCCCAATTATCAATATTTTCTGGGTACCTGACAAAAAGGTAAAAGATTCAATGCAATATAACACAATAAAAAAGGCACAAAATATATTAAAACAGTCCTGAAATCAAAATATCTGTCTTTATTTGGCACCAAAAACATCATAGCCAGAGCATCCCATAAGCTCCCTTGAAGAGAGCACCCTATGAAAGGAGTGACATGAATAAAAAGAAACCTGGGATTGTAATTTGTTCCAAATGGGAGGAGCAGTGGATCTGTAATGGCAGGACTGTAAGCGGCCTGCTCCAGACAGTTCCATCTTTCAGCCTGTAACATGGTTGATCTTCTCCACTTGACAAGGACCATTATGGAGACGATGAAACATGGCATGACAGTCCTTCATTCACTTCAAGGGAATTTCAAGAAGGCCTGGCCAAAGGTTTTACTTTTTAGCTTTTGGTCACAGTGTTTTTGTTGCCTATAACACTATGTAACATTCACTGCAGGCATACAATTGAATCCTGTGCAGTTTGGAAACTTGCAAAAGATGGATGGACCCACAGAACAATGCCAGGATCCTCTCCCTTCCGCTCCAAGCAACTGCAGCAGTGAATTTGTAAGCAACTTTGTTTTTGCTCCTTCTATGAAAGGAAAACATTAAATAATGAACTCCAAGAAATAAAATCTAATTTATCAAGACTCTTAGTCGTCTACAGTTGTAATTAAATACTTGCCAGTGTTTTGTAAAATATGTCTTATATTGATTTCCTGTTTCCAGAATGCTGTCTGTGAATCCATATTGACTGGAGAAGCATTCTTGGGCTGCAATGCATTAGTGGGCATGGAAAATTATGCTGATGCTTGCATACATGACTTGTGCAACTGTGAGAAGTCTGAAACCAATGCCTGTATTTGTGACACTATTGCTGAATACTCTAGACAATGTGCTCATGCTGGTGGCCAGCCCCTTGAATGGAGAAGTGAAGTCCTGTGTGGTGAGTATGTCTGCAAGGAATTTTTCATTTATCTGGGAAATGCCTTAAAAACCAGAGAATCCTCTTCAGAGAGTTCTAACCACTAACTAGTGAAAGTCCACCAATCCCTGTTCCCATGCAGATATTTCTGCTAATACTCAACCAACATGTACCTGGCTATAAAATCAAATGGATGTAATCCTGCCCTCTTAGTCTTAAGGCTGGAAATACTTCTTTTTGTGCAACACCCTTCAGGCATGTGAAGAATACACACCTCATCTTAGTCTTCTCTTTTTCAAATTAAGCATACCCAGTTCCTTCACAGAACCTGCTTTCCATACTTCGTATCACGAAAAACTAAAGACAGCTAAAAGATGAACCATCAACGTTTATATTTCTGTTTAGACCAGTTGCACCTAAATACACACACAAAATACACATCAGCATATGGAGGCTATGTATCATAATTTATTTCCATTTTTAGCCAAGAGCTGCCCTTTCAATATGGAGCACAAAGAATGTGGATCTCCTTGTTCTGATACCTGTACCAATCCTGAAAGATCCCAACTCTGTGAAGATCACTGTACAGATGGCTGCTTTTGCCCCCCAGGTAAGTCAAAATTAAGGTCCATCCCTCTCTCCTTTTCTTCTTTCATTCCTCCCTGTTATCAACAGTTTCCTGACACTCAAGAAATATGGCCATTAACTTAAGATAAAACACCCTTAGGGAAATTTAAAAAATAGGGATGGCAAGATATTGTACAATGAGTTACTACTGGATGCCTTCTTGCACATCATCTTTAAATGTGCTGATCATTTATTGTATCAGTGGGGGTACCAATAGGGTTTTGCCCTATAAAACAATGTCATGAAAATTCAGCTAAATGGATCTGCCATAATAATTTGCATGGTCTTCAAGGAAAAATAATATTAAATAAGAAAAATCTTGATTCCTATTGCTTTCATTTTCTATTCCACTGTAATACCAGTTTCTCTACCTGTGTTGTCCTGTGTTAGTGAGAAATAAAAATGTTTACAAGAATGGTATCATTTGCTCTGCATTTCATAAAATTAATGGATTTTGTGACAGCAACTTAATATTGGATGTAACTTCTTTCAGGTACTGTGTATGATGACATTAACAACTCTGGCTGCATCCCTCTTGAGAACTGTCATTGTACTTACAATGGGGATACCTATGCCCCTGGGGCTTCCTTTGCATCCCAGTGCAGTTCATGGTAAGATAACGGGTTCATTCGGATTGAATTGTTAGGATTTTGTTTTGCTTTTAATACAGAATTTGATAATATCAATTGCTGATAATTCTTAGGTGTAATTGCTAAAATCAAAGATGCCATGGCATGAACATAAATAAAAGTTGTTCTACTTTTTTAGTCTGAACATGACAAAATGGCACTTGTCCTGAGAAAATAATCTAAGTAGGTGTCATAGTGCCGCAAGTGAACTCTACTTTGTAAGCTTGTTAATCATGTTATCTATATTGCCATTAAATGCTATGATAAAAATATTAATGCCAACTATCAAATAGAAATCTAGTGCTAAATAGTGTAATTTTGCAATTTTACTAATTATCAAATACAAGCAGTCCCCAAGTTTCAAACAAGATAGGTTCTGTGGATTTGTTTTTAAGTAGAATTTATATGTAAGTCGGAACAGGTGCATTTTTAAAATGTAACTCTCTCTCTCTCTCTATATATATATATATATATATGTGTGTGTGTGTGTGTGTGTGTGCGTGTGCGCGCGTGTGTATGTGTGTGTGTGCATGCATGCATGCATGTTTTGGATGGCATAGGGAAGTGTTAACACCTCTATGGTGTCTGTTTTGCTATCTGTGCCCCTGTTCAGAAGACATCACCTCACTATCTGTCCCTGTGATTAGATTTTTGTAAAATGTGGCTTGTTGTGGAAGCTAGGATTGGTGAGAAAGCTTCGGGGGAGGTACCTTTTCCCCATGATAACTCTTCCAGGAGTGACGTTCCTTTCCTAGAGATAGATTTCTCTCACTTCCTGTTGTCTCACCTCCATTCTTTACTAGGAGTCATTTGTGAGTTGGATGTTTGTAATTTGGGAACTGCCTGTACTATCAGATGCTACAGGAGTTTCCAACCTATCTTCCAAGAAATACTGACTTCTCTTAAAATTCAACATGGTATGCAATTTAGGGTAAAAGAGTGAAGGTAGTTATGCTCACTGTTGTCTAACTTCCTTTGCCATGCAATAGTCATGTTAGGAGTGTTCTTAAGAAACATTTTAGTGAACATGTGGTAGCAGTAAAGCCCACTGCTACCAAATGTTCATTATAATATCGTCCCTTGTTAAGAAAAATATGAATCCTATTGGCTAGCTGATTGTTATATGTTTTAATTGTGTTATTTTACAACCTTGGTCCCCAGGTAAGCTGCCCCAAGTCCCTTCAAGGAGATGGAGGCAGGATATAAAATCAAGTTATTATTATTATTGACACAAAACACAGTATGTCACAGCAAACGAGATGTATGTGCTGGTTTTTGTATCACAAAACTACAAGTCGAACACTTCCCAAGTGGTTAGACCCAACAGGAACAGAATTGTTGAACCAATTGTTGAGTCAACACAGTATAATCCCCATAACTACAGAGCCAGTACTTAATGTATTCACTTACCCACATTGGAAAGAAAAATGTTCTTCTTAGGCATTTTCTACATCCTCTAGCATGATTCTGTGATATGCTTCTCAGAAGTTAAACATAGAGCCACATTGGAGTACTAGAAATGCTACAGAGGTGTTCTTTCTAGGAATTTTCTAGTTCCTCCAGCATCGTTCTATGGCATCTTTCTGCTGGAAGTCATTCATTTCAATACATTCACCATTTTCTGTGGTTTCACATTTTCACAATAAGCCCAAGAATGCAAAAATGGAGGTCACACTGTCCATAGCCAAATCCCATTGATTCAGTGGGTCTAATAATAGGATAAAGAACTAAGTGTGCCTGCCTCATTAGTCCTGCAACATGCTTGTTTTCTAAGAGACATGTGCAAGTGACTTGACAGATGGTGGTATGGAGTCTTCCCTTGGGATAGGAAATTATAAAGATACACCACTGTGTAATCCATAAAAGTGTCATGGCTGGAACCACTGGGTTGTTGTAGGTTTTTTCGGGCTATATGGCCATGTTCTAGAGGCATTCTCTCCTGACCTTTCGCCTGCATCTATGGCAAGCATCCCCAGAGGTTGTGAGGTCTGTTGGAACTAGGAAAATTGGGTTTATATGTCTGTGGGACAAAGAACTCTTGTCTGTTGGAGTTAGGTGTGGATGTTTCAAATGACCACCTTAATTAGCATTTGATGGCCTGGCAGTTTTTTTGTTGTTTTTTTTGTGTGGCTTGTTAGTGTCTGGGGGAATCTTTTGTTGAGAGGTGATTAGCTGTCCCTGATTGTTCCTCTCTGTTGTTTTGCTGTTGTAATTTTAGAGGTATGAGTACGTTTATGTCACCTGATGATCATTTCTTTCTCCCCCCCCCCCCTCTCCAGTCAATGTACTGGAGGCCAATGGGCTTGTGTCAGTCAGTCCTGCCCAGGCACATGCTCCATCCAAGGAGGCTCCCACATCACAACATTTGATGGAAAGCACTATTCCTTCTTTGGTGACTGTAGCTACGTCCTCACTAAGGTAAATGTAATTAAGACTTTAACTCTCAGGGGAGGTTCTACAATGAAAGGCTCCTCATATGTATTACTAGGAGGCACAGTAATTGCTTGGAAACAGTATTCAAAATGGCACAAAAAGAAATATAGATTAAATTCAAACCATGAAAGCCACAATGATTTTTGCAGACTGGAAATTTGAGCATGAATCTAATAAAATATGTATTTTTAAATGGATTTCAATTAATGTTGCAGTTGTTTCATGATGAAGTACTGTAACTGAGAAATTTCTCGTGTTTCACAATCTGACGGTTAAAGTAAGGAGTCTTGGCATTAGGGAGATAAAGTGGTGCCTGGAAACTCTAGTTTCTACTTTGCCTTAGGTACTACTGTATCTGAATGTCCATCCACCACATTGTTGGGGCAAGTCACACAAGTCTTTTCCTTACCAGAAATCAATGAAAATAGGTTCTTCTTTCATCAATAGTCATGCACATAAAGCCACACACACATTGGTGGAAAGAATTTAGTGGAAGAGCACCTTTCCTGTTCAACAGAACTACTGTGGGGGAATCACCTTAATGCCCCTTCCCAGTAATAAAACCTATTGTGAAAGGATGTTGAAGGGTTAAAAAAAGAATAATAGACTCCTAGAGTTGGAAGAGACCACAAGGGCCTCCAGTCCAAACCCCTTCTGTATAGGAATATAAAATAAAAGCACTCCCAACAGATGATCATCCAGCCTCTGTTTAAAAACCTCCAGAGAAGGCAATTATACCACACTCCAATTAAAAGAATGAGCAATGCTAAAACAATCTAAGGCAAAGGTGAATGTTTCCCCTGATATTAAGTGTAGTCGTGTCTGACTCTGGGGGGTGCTCATCTCCATTTCTTACCCGAAGAGCCAGTGTTGTCGATAGACACTTCCAAGGTAATGTGGCCAGCATGACTGCATGGAGCACCATTACCTTCCTGCAGGCATGTAGCTGGGGGGGGGGGGCGGCTTGGGGGGCTTCAGCCCCCCCCCCCGAAATTCTCATGGTGGTCTGCGAGAAGGTCTTACTGGTACATTATTTGAACTGTTATATGTTTATTCATATAATCTGATCACCATGCTCAATATATCCCATATGCATGGGGGTATTGGGGTAAAGATACAAAAGGTTTGCTAGGGTAGACCCTCTTTCACTCAGATTCAGCCCCCCCCCCCCGATACAAAATCCTGGCTACGGGCCTGCCTTCCTGCCAAGGCAGTACCTATTGATCTACTCACATTTGCATGTTTCGAACTGCTAGATTGGCAGAAGCTGGGCCTAACAGTGGAAGCAGTTAGGGAGTTATAGTTTGCTTCCATCCAAAGAGTGCTGTGAAGTCACTCCCCATATTCGAACTACCATCCTTTCGATCAGCAAGTTCAGCAGCTCAGCGGTTTAACCCACTGTGCCACCAGGGGGCCTTAAACAGTCTAGGCTTTAATAACTCTGCCCTTGAAAAGTATTTGGATTCTAAACGTGATTAAAATGTATTATTTCATTTCTGATTGGGAGGACATACTTTATTCACAATACCTTTTTAAAATGATTACTTCTTGCCACAGCACAGGGTGCCATTTTCCGTTCTTTAATGTCTTGAAAGGTATGGGTTCAGGGTAGCTCATTTCGAGAATGCTCTTCTCTATTTGCACGGTACTGTCTTGGTCTCTTTCCTATAAAACATTCTTACAATGTGTTGGTTTATTTATACCCCAAAGGTGGGATTCAGTGGTTTGAAAGAAAAAGAGGAATACAAATGAAATCCAATTTAGATAAAAAAATGAAACTGGCATTAAAGCTGCGTATAGAATTAAACCCATTAAAATGTTAAAGTAAAAAGTTAACAAAAAGCACTCCTTCATTTTGTGTATCTTTCAAAACAAAAACATGTTCATTTAAATTGAACGTGACATAGTTTTAATTTGTTCAATTGTGCTGTTTTTTTCCTGTTTGTATCCCAAGTAATTTTTAATGTTTTAAGTTGTTTAAAATACTCAAGAGTGATGTGATGATGGATGTGTAAACATCCAGATAATGCAAGCTGCTGATGTTTTGTTTCTTCACTTTCAGATCTGTGACAGTGATGACTTCACTATTGTGGCAGAAATTCGCAAGTGCGGTATGACAGACACTGAAACGTGCATGAAAGGCATAGGCATAGTCCTGAATGGTGGAGCGACTGTAAGTATGGGGTCTGACTTTTGTGTAAGGATGAAAATAAATTAAAATCTTTATGCTATGAGAAGACCACCACTAGATACTGGAGTGGTGTTGCTCTCAGTTCATCTTTCAGTTTCAATGTTTGTGGCCAATTTCCTATTGGCTCCCATTTCCAGAGATCACTGTGACCCTCATTGACACTTGAAGTTGACTATATTTGGCACACAGAACCCCCATGACCAATAGAAAGTACTGGAGGAGTTTGAGCAGGACTGACCCACCATGGTGGGAGTTATACATCCAGAGAGCACTATGAACCCAAACAATGATGGATCTGGACCAAACTTGGCACTCATATCCATGAACTTGAAATATTGGTGGAGTTTGGTTGGAACTGAACTTGAATTTAGGGAGTTATAGTTTGCTTCCATCCAAAGAGTGCTGTGAAGCCAAACAGCAATGGATCTGGACCAAACTTTGCACCAAGACCCAGCATGGCCAACTTTGAATACAGGTGGGGTTGGAACAATTACTGATGATAAAAAAGTTGTAGTTTACACATTTTCTTATGCATTTTCTAATGGGTCCATTTTTAAAATCCAAAAGCCAACAATGAAAACTTTTTATGTTTATCATTATAAAAGACCTAACCTGTCATCACTGAATAGCTAAGCTAGTATTTTATAAAATAGCTTATGGAAAACAGTGTGCACTATGGTAATACTGGAGACACCAACTAATGATTTATTTTGCTCTTTCTCTTCTCCCAGGTAATTGTCGTCAAGTCTAATGGGGCTGTGTTTGTGAATACGATGTCCACTCAGCTGCCCTTCTCAGCATGTAAGTTATTATTTTATTGTACTCCACTTTTACAATCTTCAATACAATATAACTTTTTTACCTTATATATCAAGTATCAGTGTCTGTTCTCTTCAAGGAGTTTCTGAAATGTCTATCAAGTTGTAGAGTTAAGTAGACTTTTAAAATGCATTACTGTTGAAGGAGATGATCTATGCACACATTTCTTTGTAATCTATTTTAATCTATTGGACTGTAGTAATTTTATAGTGGATATTACCCTAAGTAATGTTTCCTAGTTTGACCTCCTCCCAGGAAGTATGTGTAAATGTTTTAAAAGTGGAAGAATGTGGGCATGAAAAAGCACATTGGACAGGATTGTAATCTGGACATATATGTTAATGCAAGCTGATCAGCAGTTATCCATTCTAAGTATGCAAGTTCACCCATCTCTCCTCATCCCAGCACCCATGCCAACTACCGTCAACATATATACCATACATTGACATCCAGTGAGGTATTTTATTCCACTTTGAAAGCTGTGGTTTATATTTTCCTTCCACAGCCAATATCACCTTGTTCAAACCTTCAACATTCTTCATCGTTGGAAAATCAAATAATGGCATACAGTTTGCTATCCAGATGACGCCTCTCATGCAGGTGACCATACATGCGGACCCTGTTCATAAAGAAAAAACTTGTGGTAAGTGAAACTGTGATGTTTACAAGACATTGAGGATACATTTGTGGTGCCCAGAACTGGACACAGTATTTCAGATGAGGTCTGACCAAAGCAGGATAGAGTGAACTATGACTTCCCTTGATCTCGATGGAAGTCATAGTCCCATTCTATTCTGCTTTGGTCAAACTTCAACTAGAATATTATGTCCAGTTCTGAGCACCCCAATTCAAGAAGGATATTGACAAGCTGGAACATGTCCAGAGAAGAGCGACCAGAATAATCAAAGGTTTGAAAAGCAAGCCTTATGCGGAAGAGCTAAGGGAGCTGAGTATGTTTCATTTGGAGAAAAGAAGGCTGAGAGGAGATATGATAGCCATTTCTCAATATTTGAAAAAAAAAAGTCATATTAAAGAGGAGGAAAGCTTATTTTTGGCTTCTCTGGAGACCAGGATGTGGAACAATTGATTCAAATTGCAGGAAAAAGGATTCCACATAAACATTAGGAAGGACTTTCTTATGGTAAGAGCTATTCGGCAGTGGAATATGATGCCTCAGAGTGTGGTGGGGTCTCCTTCATCTGAAATTTTTAAGCAGAGACTGGATGGCCATCTGCTGGATGTGCTTTGACTGTGTATTCATGCATGACAGGGGCTGGACTGGATGTCCCTTGTGGTATCTTCCAGCTCTTTGATTCTATGATCTATGAAAAGTGCTTGACGCATAATGAAGGATTTTTTTTATCTTAAAAACACCAGGTCTTTGTGGAAACTTCAACAGTGCACAGGCAGATGACTTCAAAGCTATCAGTGGAGTTGTAGAAGGAACCTCAGCTGCTTTTGCCAATACCTGGAAGACACAGGCTGATTGTCCTGATATCAAGAACATATTTGAGAATCCATGCACCCTCAGCATTGAAAATGGTATGTACTTTGTGGACAATTTCATGCAGTTTCATTAGGAATATTCAGGGGTGTTTTGTTGTTGCTTTTCCCTGATATATAACCTGTAGAGTATTGCCTCTCAAAAAGAAAAGGTAATACAACCTTATTGTATTTTGTCCCCACAGAAAAATATGCTTCACACTGGTGTGGACTGCTGACAGACAGCAATGGGCCATTCCAGAAATGCCACTCTGTAGTTGATCCAGCTGTTTACCACACAGTATGTTACATGTCCATTCCTTTGTTGACATCATTAAATGAGAGTTTGATTGCTTGCCAAACTGGATGTGGGACTTCCAAGTTTTAATTTACCTTTGTCAAGCTATCCAAATGACATTAATGTTTGCTAGTAAACTCCATATTGTGTATTCTAGCCTATATATTTCTCACCTCACTACAAAATATAAACATCTTCCTATTCTGTGTGCTTGGCCACATCGCATGCCAATTTTAAGAAAGAGGTTCACATTTGAATGCAAGCATGAAATATCTGTTTTGATATTTCCCTGACACAGCTATCAAAGTAAATACTTTAAAGTATCCAATAAATCACAAAACATCTTGTTTATACCTAAGCAAGCAGAAAGTGTGCAAACTTCAAATAACTTAATTGATTTATAACAAAATTAGGACTTAGTTAGACATTATGAGGACAAGATGGTTTCCAATAATTTGCATCACACAAACTCCAAATTCTAAAAATATATAGTAAACAATACACGTAATGCAATACATGCTTATTGCTGACAATAGCATGGATCTTACAGGTACTCCAATTGGAGTAGACCCCACTGAACTAGTGGGATTTATATAAGTGTTAACTCACTATTTAACAACAGAAGCAACAGATGGTATTGAATAATCTAATTTAGGTCATTATTTCCTATTACTCTACAGCAGTGATTCTCAACCTGTGGGTCCCCAGTTGTTTTGTCCTTCAACTGCCAGAAATCCTAACAGCTGGTAAACTGGCTGGGATTTCTGGGAGTTATAGGCCAAAACACCTAGGGACCCACAGACTGAGAAGCACTGCTCTTAAGAGAGGAGCTCCCAGTGGTGCAATGGGTTAAACCCCTGTGCCAGCAGAACTTGCTGACTAATAGATCAGCAGTTCAAATCTGGGGAGAGTGGGTTGAGCTCCCTCTGTCAGCTCCAGCTCCCCATGCAGGGACATGAGAGAAGCCTCCCACAAGGATGGTAAAACATCAAAACATCTGGGTCTTGTCTGGGCAATATCCTTGCAGATGGCCAGTTTTCTCACACCAGAAGTGACTTGCAGTTTCTCAAGTCGCCCCTGACATGAAAAAAAAAACCTCTAAAGAGAATGGTGTGGGTGGTGAAACAGTGGGCATGATGATCCCATTATCTATTTGTATTATTATACAGGGTATCCATAAAGTCTCTTTACCATTTACTATATATTGCTGGGAGCATGTGGGCTTGAAGGAGCCACACAGCCCACATACTGCCTGGTAGAATTTCAATTTTATAATATTTGTACAGATGATAAACATATTTCCTGCACACTAACTGATATGACTGAAATGCTCTCTGTGTTTATAGAACTGTATGTTTGACACCTGTAATTGTGAAAAGAGTGAGGACTGTTTGTGTGCTGCTCTGTCTTCCTACGTCCGAGCCTGTGCTTCCAAAGGGGTGAAGCTGACCGGTTGGAGAACCAGTGTCTGCAGTAAGTTTTTGAAATAACCAACGTATTTTACAAGTCAAAAACAACTGGTTAAGGGAATTTTTAGAAAGTTATTATAGACAACATTTTGGGGGAAACTATGTAGTGTCTAGAGGCAGGTTTCTCATCTGTTTTCTTAACAACAGTAGTATCAGAAATTTCCACTCTCACAGTATTTGACCACATGACATTGGCCTGTACAGATGTGGTGGCAAAAGGATATATAATCAGATCTCCACATTTTCTCCACAAAAAAGGGTTGGAGGGGCTTTCTAGGCTCTCCAACATGATTCTATGGTCAACCTTTTGTCAGGAGCGGAAGCTGATAATTGAATCGTGCCGGGGGCCAAGAAATTCTTAGAAAGGAATTTTTACTCAAATCTGTGAATAACCAAATCAATAAAAATCAAACCCACAATCATGGAGATCTGATTGTAAAAACCTTGTTTGATGCTAGGTGGCAACTCCCCCCCCCATCACCCCCACCGCAAAACCCTATACAATAGTAGAGTAACAAAGAAGTATGGACTATTTTAGTCTCCTTTGTTTTAGTACACCAAGAACTGTAAACTTGACACTATTCAGTAAGAAATGTTAGATAAAAAGGCATATATTCCAGATTACATAGAAACATAACTCACTGTGAAACACATGGAATCTGCACAGGACAGTACCATCCCTTTTGTTAGCTATTTTAACTGAAATTGTTATAGCCATTAAACAGAATGTCTATCAATATGTCTTTAAGCAGTTGTTTTTGGGTATCAGTGGACCTGCCCAAGGAAATGCTTTATAGCTACATTCACCCTTATATAACGCTCTGAAATAAAGTCCTCCCTTTTGTTTTCTGTAGCCAAATACCAAATATGTCCTGAAACCCTGACTTACCAATATGAAATTGAGACATGCCAACCCACATGCCGATCACTGAGTGAGCCAGATGTCACCTGCAACATTCAGTTTACTGCTGTGGATGGATGTACTTGTGAAGAAGGGACATTCCTGGATGAAAGTGGCAAATGTGTACCCCCTACTAGTTGCCCATGTTATTATAAAGGGTCTCCCATACCATCTGGAGAAGTGGTTCGTGAGAATGGCAAGATGTGGTAAGAGATGTTTTCAAATAACCAATGTTGTGAAATGACCATAACATTCACAATCTACTTGTGGGGCTCATTTAGGAATCATGCATTATTAAAATAAGCAGCTGAATATCAAAGAAAGATAAACAATCAGTACATGTCAGCAAGCAGGAAAATAACAGAATGCCTCAAGGCAATTTCTCCCTGAGATTAACGGCTCACGAGACCAGAAAAATATTTTAAACAAGTACAGTAAGGTGGTATTTATGTTCATAAACTGAAAAAATAAAAAAGCAAGACTGAAGTTCTATCAATTCATTTTAAGATATCTACCAGTAATGAGACAATTTTTTGCCTCAAAAAAGAAAAGCCTGGAAATCATTGTGATTTCTTTATAGCCACTATAAGTACCAATCAACATTCCTGAGGGATTTGGAGGGTTGTATTCCCCCCAAGATGTCAAACTCTTCTTCCAATATTTTTCTAAATGTTCCAAATGGTGCACAGAAGGGCGAGGTTTCATTTGCCTCTTTTTTCTGAAAACAAGGCAGGAAGTTTGGGTTTCAATAAGATATGTATAAGCTCAACATTTTCTTTTGTCTAGGGAACAATAAGTGTGACAGAAGAGAAAACTGAGTAATAGTGTGTCTGAGCTTTTTATAAAGATTTGTGAGACTTCTCTTTGGCAAGCATGACAAATAGTAGCAAGAAAATCCAGGTTTGGTTATACTGGTTCAGATACTATGACCAACAGCAGAACTGTTGGTTTAAGGATTTTACACATTCCCCAATCCTGTATAAAAATGCTCCGGGCCAACCTTGATCAGATACCTGTAAAACAAATCCTTAAGTTAAACATTGTGCCACATATAAAAAAGGAACATTTATCTTTTGGCCACAAGGTGGCATTTCAGCATTCTGTGATCTCAAGGATTTATTGTTGCTGCTGTTGTTGTGGTGGCTGCCTTCAACTGGACAAGAATCACTGCTTCAAATATGATTAATTTAAAATATTAATGGATGAAACATCCTTACTCTTTTACAGCACTTGCACAAAAGGAAAGCTTCAGTGCATTGGAGAAGCGAGACCTCAACCAGGTAACCATTTTATTTCCTAAAATGTTAAGGTAGGGTGCGTAAGTGTATATATGTTTTACTAAAATATAAAATGAAATACCCAAATCAGGTAAGGGAAATCCTTACACAGAAGCAAATATGCTACTACTCTCCCAATTATCTATGCCTGAAGCACAATTGTAATCTTTCAATGGACATCTGCATTAATTGCCAGTTGCGTTAATTGGAATTAGACTTAGACCAGGGAAGCATGGAACTAACTGACTGGCAACTCTGTTTAGACTTTAGTCGTTTAACTGTTTAGGATATATGTTTTTTGGGCAATTATGTTTTATTGATGCAATTATGCTGTTGTTAAGTATCTGTATTTTTATTACTTTAAGTTTAATTTTCTTTGGTAATAAGTTTATTAATATCTATTTTACATTCTTGATGTTGTGTGCTTTTAATTATGGAATTGAATGCTTGCTTTGTGTGTGTGTGTAAACCGCACTGGGTACCCATGGAGAAAGAGGACAGTCTAAAAATAAAGTATTATGTTGTTGTTGTTGCTCCTGCTGCTGCTGTTGTTTTGGAACCTAGAACACACCATGCAGACACAAACACATAGTAGTTGGCATCCTGTCTGCCAACAGCAGCAGAAGCCAAGTTATTCATATGGCAAAATTCCACATTTGTAGTATTGCACTGCAACTTGTGCCTTGCTCATTGTGCACTGTGGGCCCATCAAGGCAGGAAAATCTATAGAGATTCTGTTTTCTGCAGTTCCATGCCATTTGACACACTGTTTAGGAGTATCCCCTAATTTTCTGAAACAGATGTTGTAAGGGGCCTCAGGGGGAGGAATTATGGAGACTTCTCTTCCATTTGTCCCAAAGAACTCTTCTAAAGCAAGCACTTCCTGTAGATTGAAGGGACAGGGCATTGAAGGGCATTTAACTGGCCAGAGGAAGATTGTGGATCCAACCCTATAATTCCAACAGAACTTGAAAAGTGGAAACAGAAATACTGAGCTGGAGTTTTATTGCAAACTTTGAAAAGCAGATCAAATGAGTTGTTTATCAGCCTTGAGTAATATAATTCCAAGTCAGCTGGTCATCCTGAGTCCCATAATTAAAATTCATAGAATCATAGAATCAAAGAGTAGGAAGAGACCTCATGGGCCATCCAGTCCAACCCCCTGCCAAGAAGCAGGAATATTGCATTCAAATAACCCCTGACAGATGGCCATCCAGCCTCTGTTTAAAAGCTTCCAAAGAAGGAGCCTCCACCACGCTGCTGAGAATTCCACTGCTGAACGGCTCTCACAGTCAGGAAGTTCTTCCTCATGTTCAGATGGAATCTCCTTTCTTGTAGTTTGAAGCATTGTTCCTTGTCCTGATCTCCATGGAAGCAGTAAACAAGCTTGCTCCCTCCTCCCTGTGGCTTCCTCTCACATATTTTTACATGGCTTTCATATCTTCTCTCATCCTTCTCTTCTTCAGGCTAAACATGCCCAGCTCCTTAAGCCACTCCCCATGTTTAGGACAGAGAGTGAGAACCAGTTTATTTAATCTTTAAAATAATACCTAGTGTGTTTCAGAATGTTAAGGGTTACTTTTGATGATGGCATGCCCTAGCTCACAAAGAATGTGATTATTTTGCAGTGACTAATATCAGACAATAGTCGGAGCAATTTCATCTGCTTTTTCTTTCTATTAGTATGTGATGCCCCCATGATCTACTTTGATTGTCAGAATGCCACATTAGGTGTCACTGGAGCCGAGTGTCAGAAAAGCTGCCAGACTCTTGACATGGGATGTGTAAGTATATCTTATAACCCTTTCTTGTTATAATAGCCTGCTCAGCTTGCATATTAATTTTGTAATATTGTGGAATTACCACTTCATCCTAAATATATGAAACAATATTGAGTACATACCATTATCTCTTCCCAATTTGGGAAAATATTGGAAAATAAGGACAAGAGCTGTAAGTAATAAGAGACCATAATGAATTTTGGCCCAGGGAACATTGTGGTCTGGGATTGCAATGAGGAGAAGCAATATGATTTGTGAATGAGAAGCAGCAAGACATATCGTGCAGTATGCTAGGATATCTCACTTCAAGCTTTACAGGAATATCTAGTCTAGAAATATATTGGGATATTGTTAGAAAGATCTGAAGAAGTGTATTCTATAGCAAAACTTTCCTTGAAAACAAATGGAAAGCAATGTGTACACATTTAGAACAGCAGGATGACCTGGCTCTCAGTAAAACCTAATATGGAGGCTGTGAATACACTTTGGTCCAGCAGTCAAGCGTTTTGCTAAAATGAATTTTCCTGTCCAATATCTTGTAATCCTGGTACCCTGTGCTGCAGATTTGTCACATAACTATATTTTGCCCTGTTTTTTAATTATAGTATAGCACACAGTGTGTGTCTGGCTGTATGTGTCCTAATGAGCTGATATATGACGGCAAAGGTGGCTGTGTGGCTGCTGAAGAATGTCCTTGCACTCACAACGAAGCCACCTACAAGGCAGGAGAAACCATCAAAGTGAAATGTAACACTTGGTGCGTGCAAGTATAAGCTGAATCTAAAATACTGAGCTTTCTTATTTACCTAAGAGAAAGATGTGCTAAATCCAGATGTGTTTGTATCTGTGTAGTACTTGCAAAAACAGAAAATGGGAATGCTCTGATGAACTTTGCCTGGAAACCTGCTCAGTATATGGAGATGGTCATTATGTCACCTTTGATGGTAAACGCTACAGCTTCGAGGGAGAATGTGAATACACTTTGGTCCAGGTATGAAATGTTTCCCCAAGCACTCTCAGTTGTATAACTCATGGTGACAAGCATGTTCACAAAGAACTAAATAATTCTCTCCTCTACAGGATCACTGTGGCAAAAACAGTACAAATGCAGGAACCTTCCGAATTATTACAGAGAATGTGCCCTGTGGTACCACTGGGACTACCTGCTCAAAAGCCATTAAACTGTTCATAGGGGTAAGCAGCTACTTTGAGGATTCATATAGCGCACAATGGGGGGATCTAGGCAAAATTATTATAGAGCCTATCTACAATAAGGGAAAAGTGAAGCATGGAATAGCTGTATTAGAAAAATTGTGTTAATAACACAATGCAGGACAAAGAAAGTCCGACATATGGGCGCCAAGACGTTTCTTTTCACTTCATTGATATAATGCTGAGCCAATTATTGTCAAAGACATTTTTAAACAGATTTTTTTGGAAGCCAGATTTTTCTGAGAAAACATTCTATAGATTTTTATAAATCTTAGAGTTTCCAAGGCAAACCTTTCTGTAAACATATCTCAAAATTACTGGTAACTGGAAATGCCTTATGTAATTACTTCCATGTAGCTAACTGTACTGACATATATCTCTGGCTTATATTTCATCTTTCAGGACTATGAGTTAAAACTGGCTAATGAAAAATTTGAAGTGATACAGAGAACCCCCGGTAGTAGTACAGTGCCATTCAAGATCCGATACATGGGTACCTTCATGGTTGTTGACAGCCCAATTGGAGTGGTATTAATGTGGAATAAGAAAACCCAACTCATTATCAAAATGACTCCTGCTTATAGGGTAAGCTGTAAATATCAGAAACTATGAATCTTTGATTTCTTCAAATACTGTTATCAAAAGTTTTGTGTCTGTGTATAACTGAAGATATTTAAATGATTTGATACATTGATACATGAAACAGATCCTGTTAACTGCTCACTTCATAGCCAATTTAAGAAATGTTGTTTTGCTATAGGAACAGCAGTTGGTAACTGTGGGAAGTTTGAAACACTCACATGAAAGCACAACAGGGTGTTTTGAAGAAGGAGAAATGCAGTTATTTACCACTGATCATTCTCTGTCTGATCTTGGGTTTTTTGTTTGTTTGTTTGTTTTTTGCTGAGGAGCTAGATATTGTTGTTTTGCATGACCAGTGCACACATAGCTGATTAAAGCATTTACATGTAATAGTCACACTTATTAGGCAGAATTCATCTAAGGGCGTGTCCTTATAGAAGCTTCACATATTTATTTATTTATATCCCACTTTTCTCCCCCGATGAGACTCAAAGCGGTGTACAGCATGTAAAATCAAGACAATTGCAAACAAAGCATACAAACATGAACTCCAACCAATGAGAAATGTATCTATCTAAGACATTAAAACATTACGAACTCCCATTACCCATGAAAACTGGCATAAAACTAGCATAACAACATAAATTAAATCCATACTATTTAAAACCTATATGTATGCAGGTGTCCTGTTCACGTACTGTAGAAGTTAATATTCCTTTCCTCCACAGTGCCCAAAACTGCCCCCCCCCCCCAATTTATTAATAAACCATCCAACATGCCAATGCCGTTTCCCAGTGAGCAGGCAAGATTGAAGAAGCATTTACTGTGTCCTCAGATGCAAAATAATGTCGGCAGATATACAAAGATACAAAATAATGTATCCAGAGGCATCAGTTCTGCTTTAGACCTTTCACATTTGCCTATGAATTTGTAATCAGATACTTCTCCAATCCTGCCTATTGTTGCAAATAACAAAATGGTCATGTGAAGCAACCTCAGTGTTTTTTTAGTAAGTTCAGAAGAGAGTATATGGCTTGTGTAGTATTGGTCTATATCTAGATATTTATGCTATGCTGGAAGGATGTTGAATTTCAGCTATATTTTTATTATAGTCAATCTATGTCCAACTCTAGCCAACTCTGCATCCCAATCTACAAGATGAAAAATGATGGACATCTATAACTCACTTAAGTATAGATTAATGTATGTCTGATTAGCAGTCTGAATGTGTGGCTGTCATAGTTCTGAAGCTCAATTTTAACATCATTTACTTCAGAAATGTGGAGCAGGACTGGTCATCATTCGAAACTTAGAGAATTATTTCTATCTTAAAAAATGTAACCCCCCACCCCCACTCCCCAAAAAAGAAAAATCATGTGGCGACACTACACATGCCCTGCCACCACTTAAAAACCAAGGATGCCTGCTTTTGCAACAAAAAAAAAGTTAGATAAAATTTCTTACCAATTTCATCAAACAATCACTACCTTCTGACAAAAGCAACAAAAATATTGGGAATTAGGCAAGTAGTTGAGAAAGGCAGAGGTTTTAACAGAACTAGATATGAAGCTCTTTTGTACGCCCTATGAGTAGATCAGAGAGAGAAGTCTTCCTATCCAGAACTGTCAATTGGCCCCTGAGGCCTGCTTCCAGTGTGCCACACAGCTGCCAATCACATTGCTCTAAGAAAAACCAGATTTCTTTTCTTTCCCAAGTTCATACAGTGCAAAATGTTTCTTGACAATCATAAACTTGGACTTGTTTACATAGGAAAGTTCACGATTTCAGTGTCAAAAATAACTAATGTTTTCTCCCATATTTTGTTTAGCGAATGCACATCACTAATCTCTCAAAAAATAGCTCTTCCCCTTCTCATGTGTCTGCTTGTCTCTCTGCAGGGTCAGGTATGCGGCCTTTGTGGAAACTTTGATGGCAATGATGCCAATGATTTCACCACCAGGAGTCAGTCGGTAGTAACAGACATTGTGGAATTTGGTAACAGCTGGAAGGTGTCTCCCACTTGCCCGGAAACTCCACAGCCCAAAGACCCTTGTACTGCAAACCCATACAGGATGTCTTGGTCCCAGAAGCAATGCAGCATCATTAACAGCCAAACATTTGCTCCCTGCCATTCTCAGGTATGAACAAAGCTCTTTTCCAACAAATATATGGGACACTTTAAGAGCCCTAACCCCACGATTTTATGTACCCTGTGAAGATCCCTTACCTTGCCAGCCTGGGTGGCAGGGCCTAGGAGAGGCAGGCTAGTTAGTTTCAGCCTTAGAAGGCCTGGCAGAGGGCAGCAGGAGCCATTTTGGTTTAGGGAAAGCTCCAGTTCAGAGAGGGGGAGTGGCCTAGGCCTGAGCCAGCCTTGAAACAGCCAGGATTGGTTTATTAAAGGGGGGCGGAGTTAGACTGTTTGGAGGGAAAGAAAGAAGCTTTTTTAGAGAGAGTCAGTCTGTTGATGTTAGAGTTAGAGCAGGATTACAGAATTAGGAGTTCGTGTTAAGAATAGGCAGTTTGCCTGAAGTTTGCCAGCGAATTAAGCTGTGGCAAACTGGGTACAGCTATTTAGGGGAAAAATAGCTGGGTTTTAGATTTGTAACCAAGAAAGAACCATTCTCATGCAACCGTTACGCTTTTCAAGAACCAAAACATTTTATCTGTAACAGCCAAGCTTATTAGACAGCATTTACATTCTCTTCTGTACTATATTAAATAAACTTTCCTTGTTTTTTTTTTTTTGGAAACTTAAGCCTGAGTCAAGTGTACATTTGTGGATTTAGTCCCTTTTCCTTTCAAATCAACCTCACCTGTTTTCCTTCAAAGAAGCCCTTTAAAAAACACACAGTACTTGGTGGTCTAAAAAGCCTTTTAACAGTTTAACCAGCTAGAGGGCTCCTGTACTTATTCTTATGGTGGCAGCGGAAGTTAAATAGAGAGTCATCTCCTCAGATGTTATATAGGTGCCAGTGAATTCTTTATTAAAGGAGGGACAGTTGGTGGGATCTGTTTACCCCCCTGTCCAGTTATTGTCTGGCCACTCGAGGAGTCTTTATAATTGGTGTCAGATGGTGGGATTGATCGTATTGCCATCAGCATGCCTTTATATACCCACATGTAAAATGCTTAGGACAGGATTCAACAATCCTCTACACTTAAATGTATGATGCCACTCTTCCATTGTCAGAATCTAGGTAGACACCTTCAGAACCTATACCAGAGTTTTGCAGTTCTTAAAAAATGGACCATTAATAACTAGATGTCTTTTACTACCAGCTTTGCGTTTACTAGTGGTGGTGTTCCATGTCTGGCACAACTGCCATGGTGGTATTAATTTAAATGTAGTTGTTTATTTTGTGATAAGATAAAATGTCTGCACATGCTAGGGTAGTCAGTTAGCTTCAATATTGACTGGTGAATTGAAGCTTCTACCGACAAAACTGCCTCTGGGTCCCAGTGCTCAGGCTGACTGTTCTCTTGAAAAATAACTGCTCAAAAATGGGAAAATATTCATTATTGTTCCTCTTGTTTCTCTGCATCCTATATGATGAAGTTCTGGTGGTGGCTGCAATCAATACATGAATGTGTCTTAAACTTAGGATAAATCCCTTTAGAGCTTGATTTTATTATCTTAAATGCAGGTTTATTATTATTATTAATTATTATTATTATTATTATTAAACTTTATTTGTACCCCGCTAGCATCTCCCAAAGGACTCGATGCGGTTTACAAAGGCCAAGACCTCAATACACAACATAACAATACACTTAAAGCAAATTAAAAACAATTAAAGCAGTATTAAACAACAAAGAACCACAAGCAATAAACAATACATCAAACAAGATAAAAACCAGGCCGGGCCAGAGTAAAGGGTACAGGATTAAAAAGTACTGATGTGACAGGTGATATGTAAGGATTATAGGGCAAGTGCAGTGTGCAATGTGCGGCAGTCTTAATTCTAAGTGCGTCTGGGACTTGGTATTGGAGATTTCCTAATTGGAAAATCAGCATTTCTGTGGTTAATGCAATATTAGACTTAGTAAGCATTTAAAAATATCTATCATAATTTCTCCTTCTTGGAATATGTAAATAAAATTGTCCTTTTTTCAAAAAATATTATTGCAAATATTTCAGCTATGAATAATTTATTATTAGGTCCCCAGATGGAGTAAAATTCTAATATTAAGACATCTCATAAATAATTAACGTGAATATTACCAATCAATTGCATAGTTTTCAGAGGAAAATGTTCACTTTATTTCCACCTATCTTTTGTTTACACCTGTCGGACATTTCTAAACCAATAATCTTTCTTCTTAATATAAAAAAAACACCTGTGCATTTCCTACTAGTGTTGCAATGATCTGGTAACAAAAGCATTAACTGTGTCACAGAGTGTCATTCCTTTCATAAGCACACCATTGTTGACAATAGAGACTAAAGCTGAACAAAGTGCTGATTCTACAACAAAGACAAAAAAAATGAGAGAAAAAGGAAAAGACAACAAATAGGACAAAACATTAATTAATGACCCATTCTGTTTACAGTTCTTTGTATAAGAACTTACCTGCCTTAGCCTTGATACCAAGCTTTTTGGTATTGCTATAAAAAGTATTTAACAGTTAACATATTTAAGATCTTTTCATTTTTTATTTTTTAAAAAATCTTGAATTTGTCAGAGACAAAAAGAAGAGGAAAGACAGAAATCCCTCCCAGTCCCTCTTCAATTACGATATGCTAAGACAGAGAAACATATTCAACTAGTTTTATTACTTCCTTTCTAGGTTGAACCCACTAAATATTATGAGGCTTGTGTATCCGATGCCTGTGCTTGTGACACAGGAGGAGACTGTGAATGTTTCTGCACAGCTGTAGCAGCCTATGCCCAAGCATGCAGTGAAGCTGGTGCCTGTATTTCCTGGAGAACTCCAAACATATGCCGTGAGTACAGTTCATCTATTTTGAAGGAATATAATTAAAAGATGGATTGGTGGGAACAAGGAGTTGGGAAAGCGTTTTTTTAATTGCAACTTGTTCACTTTAGAAAAATGTTACTTTTATGACAAACTCTCGTATCCCCAGTTAATGACACCATTCAGTATGGTGGTTGGCAGATTTTGGGAGTCATGATCCTAAAAAGGAACTTTTCTTAGCTCTGATTTTGACATACACTTGGCATGATTTTTCAAGCTGTAAAATAGTTACACAAATTATTGTATCTGTCTTGTTCATATGAGGAGTGTGTGTGTGTGTGGGGGGGGGATCCAATTCTTACAATGTACAAAAACAGGCGCAGTTACAACTTTAGAGGCTCAAGTGATTCCTGTGAATCTTTGTGTTCTCAAAGTATTTGCTTTATTCTTAGATGAGTGTTTGAATTCCTAAAAACCTAAAATTCAGTTGTACTGAATGGTGATATATTTGTAATTGATCTGCATTCAACCTCTGGACAGCCAGCCTTGATCTTACTGTAGTCAAAAAAAAGAGTGGCTTATTTTGAGAGTAGAAATTGTGCAGCTGTCCAGAGGTTGTTGAATTACTGCTCCCGTCATCTTTGGATATGGCTGCTTTACAATCCAATAACTTGCAGTACAGATATTAAGGTCTCGGGTACAGAGCCTGTTTATAGAGTTGTGGTAGAACATAAGATTCAGAAAGATGCAAATCACATCCCTTGCTCTAAATTTTCAATGGGGTGTGTAAGCTGTTACTGCTCTTTCAGATCTTTACAGTGACAAGTTAGTGTTGGTGTGTAAAAGCAATATATCTGTGTACCAAAAACTAGCATATGTATAGAAGTAGGTTCAATAGGAATTGCTTCAAATCAATGGCTATAAGATTGTTACTGAATTAGATAATTACCTAAAAATTGGGAAGCATAGCATTAGTGCCTGCACTGAGGAATATTGAGATTACAAAGGAGCTCAGGGAAGATATAGTTATCAATTAGTAAAAATAATTCAATTTTTCTTGAAACTCCAATTTTATCTGCTTTCTCCAGCTATATTCTGTGATTACTACAATCCAAAGGGGGAATGTGAATGGCACTACCAACCCTGTGGCGCTGCTTGCCAGAAGACTTGCAGAAATCCAGAGGGAAAATGCATACATGAATTACAAGGCTTGGAAGGTACAATGATTATGAATTTCACCATGGGTTTACCAAGGTTACTGTGGGAAACTAAAAACTGCATTACTGTCTGTTCATTGCTAAACACCAGGGTGGACAACTTTCAGTGGATCTGAGGATGGATGTATTGACTAGAATAATTATCACATTAGACATGGGAATCAGAGCTCTTCAAAGTAGACACATTTTATTTGGCTTTTATGAAACATTTAATCTACTCACATTAGTCTGCAAGTAAGATTTTTATTAGGATTTCTACTTGGAAACTTTTTATGAAGTGTTTCATAGTACTTTTAGAATTAGGTGTGTTTCAGACAAAACAGAAAATAAAATGATAGCTCAAATTCTCTGCATTTTTTCTTTATGTAGCAATTCAGCATTCTTGGAATATGCAGTTAAACTCATTCTGAAACCGCATTATAAAGTATTGTAGATGGGGCCCCAGCCATAGACAAAGGACATTGTAGAATTCGCTTTTATAGACTCATCTATTTAATCTACTTTCTCAGATTCAGATTAAATCAGCATAGTAAGGGTTTTTCTACATGAATTAAAAACTTGGACTCACCTCAAATCCCGCACTGGATGTATATAGGGCACATTCCAACTTCCCATGAACATCCCAAGTTTTCTGCCTTTAACCTGACTTTAGGCAAAGTCAGAGGATATTCCAGCGTTTGCCGGGAACTCTGGAGTATTCTAGGGCTTGACAGACTGAGGTTGGATCTGTACTGGCATATAATGCAATTTGGAACTGCATTATATGGCCAGTGTAGGCATATGTAATGCAGTTTAACTGCAATGAACTCCATTATATGGGTCTACAGTTATCATGTAATGCAGTTCCAAATAGCAGTGTAGATCCAGCTATGTTCATATGTTCATATGGACAGACTATCCAGAGAGAGTATGCTGTCATCACCATTTCCCTGTACTGATCAACAAAAGTGAATAGAATGGCTCATCACCATATCACCGCTGCTGCTTCTTGCTGGTCAAAGAGGTCCTTGAAAGCACCTGGCGATAACACACTCCTTCTACACTGCCATAGAATGCTACATTATATGTTCAGCGTGGACTTATATAATGCAGTTCAATGTTAAACTGACCAATGCAGTCTCAAACTGCATATATGACAGTGTAGATCAGGCCACAGTCCCACCTGCTGATGTCAGAATTGGATGCCCACCATTTAATATTGGAATACAGACAAACATAATGTGCCATAGCTTAATGTTAAATGTCAGTCAATAAACTGTTCAACTTAATGAACTTCACTAAGATAAGTGTTTGCTTACTTGAAGCATAACGCATTAAGTTTAAACTTACATTTCCACTAAACATGGATTTAATTTCAATTTAAAGTATTATTCCTTTGTTTTTCTTTTGCCAGTTTCTTGCAAGTTCTGGTTGCCTGACTCTTGGTTAACTGAGAGTTTACTATATTAATCCTTTTCTTCTCAGTTAGTCTCAAAGGTGCATCTATATCTTTTTATGGTGACCCAAACTAACATGATTACATCTGAAATACAAGACAAGTCGTGTTACATTGACTAAGCTGATTTTATCACTACCTACTTTGGGGTTTTCCAAAATTAAGGAAGCAACTTACACATGGTTTTGCCTGAGTATAGTGTATTGTAACATAATCTTCTGTTTATTGGAATAGGGAAGAAGTGTATGTGGTAGAAGGCTGAAGCTCAGAACATTACAATGAGGAAAAACTGCAAGATATATTATTAGGAACAGAAGGAAGACTTTAACTGTGGCAGAATTACCAAAGTGAAATTATGGTCAAAATGCACCTTAGAGTTTTGAGATCAGTTTATAGTATAGCAGCAGATTGATGAAAATCTTCATGAAGTCAACCAAATGTCTGTGATGGCAATTCTCAAAATATGGCCCTTTGGATGCCTTTGGTTCCCACTATTCCTTACCAGTGACCAGTCCAAAACAATCTGTGGACAAGATATCTGTTTATTGTCTGACACTTGCACAACAGAACTTCTCAAACTTTTTCCAATTCTGACCCCTTTCTGCCAGAGAAATTTGTATGTGACCCCAGGTATACAGGTATGTAAAATAGGTATAACAATCAAGCATTTACTGATAATAAATCAGCATTTGCAAGGCTTGTTGAACAGGCTGATTTTTCTTTTTGTGGAGTACAGCAGAAGCATTTTCCACAGGATCCACTGAAAACACTGCATGGTGTTGCTAACAGATTATGTAAGTGGGTGTCATTCAGAAACCTTTTACTGTTGCTAAGTTTTTTGGGGACCTCAACATTGAGCCAAGGGGCCCCATATGTGTTCAGAACCCACAGTTTAAAAAGCTCTGCTCTAAATACTCAAATAGGATTACTTACATAGATCTTTATTTCTGATTACAGGCTGTTATCCAAAATGTCCAGAGGATAAACCTTATTTTAATGAAGATGACATGAATTGTGTCTCTGAGGATCAGTGTGGATGCTTTGATGATAAAGGATACCATTATAAGCCAGGAGAACAAATTCCTTCAGAAAAGAGTTGTCAATCATGGTAAAGCTTGCCTTAAAATACTAGGAATATGAATTTAAAGTTGCAACAGCATGCATTTTTCCATAATGTGATGAAACTAATTAAATAGCATGGGCCAAAGTCCTACATCAGAGATGTAGTTATTGCAGCTATAGTCTAATTCAGTCTGATACAATCAGCAAATTTTAACTTAAAATTCAGGCAGACCAAAGGACAGAGTTCTTCAGGACTGACAATGCAATGGGGGAGAAGCAGGAACCTTTCATATGATTCATTCTAAAACGAACTAGGTGTTTGTTTTTGTTTTAGTAATATATACCTGCACTGCTATAAGCATAATGGTAAATGTGGACATGCCTTTTGTAAGATGGTATCAACATCTGTCATTTTTATAAAAAAAATATTCTACTAGAATTAAAGTTTTATTTTTCGCATCATATCAATTACAAATATTAGAGCAAAATGTTTTCAACACATCCCTAATATCTATCTGATATCATAGATTAATATGTATGTATCAAAGGGACAAGATCATCTGCTTATTTTTATGTGATAGAAGAAAATGTAAAAGTAGAACCTATTGGAATTGTTCTACATATATCAAAATTCTGATAGAAAAATTAGAAAACAGCTACAAATGAGAAAAAATGACTTTAATCTGATTAGTGGCAGGTGGTGGTGTTTTAAATAATTGAGGTGAGGAATGCATTCTGCGTCTTAGTCCAAACTTTAAAGGAGCTATTCAAGAATGTATTGTCAAAGGCTTTCATGGCCGGAATCACTGGGTTGTTGCAGGTTTTTCCGGCTGTATGGCCATGTTCACAATCTCTGAGGATGCCTGCTGTAGATGCAGGCAAAATGTCAGGAGAGAATGCTTCTAGAACATGGCCATACAGCCTGAAAAACCTACAGCAACTCAGCTACCCAAGAGCTGAAACTCTTTGGAGAACAGCACCTGAGGTAGATATTCTATTGTTCTGATTAAAATAAGAGTGAATTCAGTGCATCACTGACATGGAAAGTATCAGCCATCACTGATCCACATTGAAGTCTACTTTCTTTTGGAAATTTTTAGATCCATAGGATTTTTCTGTAAACCATATATTAAGATGAACTGCCTGCTCATTTCTGCATTGGCATATATGGGATGTAAATAAAAAGTGATTTTGCCTTCTGTGCTTTGAAAGAAATGTTAGTCACCTTCATAGTGGTGCTCTTTTTTTTCTTGCAGCCAGTGCTCAATGGAAAGCAAGACGATATGTGCACATGATGAAAATGGTATGTTGACAATACAGGTTTTTTTAAAGTAAGTAATTCTTAAAGCATTTTTTTACATTTTAAGCTAATGTGGTTCAAATAATTTTTTGAATGACAGCTTGCTACTGCATCTATGATGGGAAGAAACACATACCTGGTGATATTATCTACAACACAACGGACGGCATTGGAGGATGCATCATTGCAACTTGTTCTCATAATGGAACAATAGAGAGGAACATTTTCCCGTGTGAAACAACCACGACCATTGCCACCCCCACCACTGTGTTTGTATTTACTAGCACATCACAACCAACTACTACTACTACAGGTACAAGCTCTGATTACTTTGTTTTTTGATCAAATGATATCAATCTCCAAATCGAGACTCTGAGATTCAGTGTAGTACAACAGAATTTTTTAAAAAACATAGTGCATGTCCAATACAAATTCATGCCTGTCTGTTATGAAAGTAGACAACAATGAGAACCTAAATCCTGTTGATTAGTCCTTAAGTAGAGTATACATGGTGAATCAATAGGGAAGCAATGGGTTTGTGACAATGAGACACAAAGCAATATTAATGTGTTGCAAGAAGGATAGTACAAAGTAGGCATATCTGTATTGTGTTAGTAAAATGTTTTATCTTGTACTGCTCTTTGTAAGAGCTTAGGGTCTTATTATGCTTTAGAAAGTAGCATATTCTTAATACATCTGTGGTTATGAAGTTATGGCCAAAGCTATTCTTAATAAATCCCATTGATTCATTAATTCTACTGTAATTGAAACTCAAAATAGAATTGAAGACCAGAACTTCAAGATAGAAGTAGAATAGTATAGTATAATACAACCTAATTAATATAATATAATATATTCAAGATGTAGATAATTTGACTCCTTGGCTGCAGGTTCCATTGATATGGAGTACCGACTATAATAATAATATAATACTGTATAAACTAGCATACTCTAATCGAATTTAAACTAATTAGCAGGCATACCTAAAATGGGAAACTTACTATTCAGCCATTACATAGATATGCCCAAAGAACTCAAGTGCAAATACAAGGAAGGCTAATCCTGGGCACACTTATAACTAGAGATACCAACCCCTGAAAACTTACTGAAATATGACCATCAAAGAAAAACTGTATTCATTGTATACTACTGGGCTGGTGCTAGATGAAGTGTTTATGTGTGCCTCTTTTCTATAGTGTGTGTAAGATTGATTCCCCCTTGTTTATAATTACATAGGGGCAGAACCACCTTAGGGGCTGAACCACCACAACTAATTAAAAATCTCCTAAAAATGCACCTACACAATCTATATAAATAAAAATGTAATGTTTGTTTGTGGGATTAACATAACTCAAAAACCACTTGACAAATTGACACCAAATTTGGACACAATACACCTATCAGGCCAACAAGTGACCATCACTCATAAAAAACACTGAAAAGCACAGCAGAAGGGATTTAAAAAAGCCAAAAAAGCAAAAAGATGCTTCAGCGCATGCACAAAATGATTCCTCCTTGCAAACAAAACACACAATAGCATATGCGCACTCTCTTCTGGACTACAGCTCCCAGCATCCCCTAGACCAGGCCCTTTAGGAGAGGAGGATAATCCAAATGCACTGCTTCCAAGCTGCAAGTTTTCTTCTCCTTGGATTTTTTGAAGGCATCCCAATCTCTGCATATTTCCAATTTCCTATTCCTGGATTGTAACTCCCAGAAAACCTTCAAATAGATAAAATAGATAGACTAGATAAAGTAGGTAGGTAGGTAGGCAGGCAGGCAGGGAGATAGATTGATCAGGAGGACTGCTGGGAGTTGCAGTCCCAGAATAGAAAGAGAAAGGAAAGAAAAGAAAAGGGGAGGAAGGAAGGGAAGAGAAGGAATGAAGGAGAGAATGAAAGAAAAAAAGGGAAGGGAAGGGAAGGGAAGGGAAGGGAAGAGAAAGAAAGAAAGAAAGAAAGAAAGAAAGAAAGAAAGAAAGAAAGAAAGAAAGAAAGAAGTAGAGAAAGAAGTAGAGAAAGAAGTAGAGAAAGAAGTAGAGAAAGAAGTAGAGAAAGAAGTAGAGAAAGAAGTAGAGAAAGAAGTAGAGAAAGAAGTAGAGAAAGAGGGTAGGTTGGCCACAGCAATGTGTGGCAGGTACAGCTAGTAGTATATAATTTCTTAGGATAGCAGGTTCCTTTTATACTACAGACATTTCTTGTATCTAATTTCTGGATATTCTTCATCATCGTTTTATTCATTTTGGTATCCAGAATTTAATATATACCTACAGAATGCATGTCTACCTCTCTTTTCAAACTGAATGGCATTCTGACCTAAGTCTTGTCTTTCGCCCCATCTACTTTGCCGTATAATCCAGTCTCGGAATGTGGCTTAACTGCATTGAACTGGATTATATGGCAGTGTAGATCTAGCCTTTATCAGAACACTGAAATACTCAGATGTGATCTTCAAATATAATATTTTGTTCTCAGCTCTTTCAAGTGAATGCCATTGTTATAACTGTACATTCTTATAGTTAAAAAGTCATTTGCAAAACTGTCTCCTGCATCCTAAAAATCAAATAATAAGTTTCAGAAAAGTCTAACTGATTTTTGTTGTTGTCATTTCCAATTTATGGCAACCCGAAAATCACTCTATTACAGGGCTTTCTGGGACTGAGAGTGTGTGACGATCTGATTTCTTTTTCCTAATCAGCAGCTTTGGTGAAGCTGCTGATTTCTGAGTATTCATTCAAGGAGGCTTTCTTCTTAGAGCTGGTATCTAGTTAATATAATCTAGTACCTAGATTACCAATTATACTAATGTATCCTTTTAATCATCTTCCACAGCACCTACAACTACACTTTGTGTTCAGGAAAATTGCCATTGGTCACAGTGGTATGATGTGAGCCAGCCTGGTTCTGGAGAAGATGGTGGTGATTTTGACAGTTTTGATCACCTGAGAGCTGAGGGTTATAACATCTGTAAAACTCCAAAGAAAGTTGAATGTCGGGCTGAGAAATTCCCCAATACTCCATTAAGTGAACTGGGCCAAAAAGTTGAATGCAATACTGAAGTGGGATTAATCTGCTACAATAACGACCAGAGTACAAAGAAGTGCCATAATTATCAAATGAGAATCCAATGTTGCAGCTTTGTACCATGTGGTTACACTACTGCCTCCACATCTCAGGCTACTACAGTCTCCACAGCTCCAACAGCAACAACCACACCGTCTACTGCAGAAAGTACATCTACAACTTCTATTCCCACAACTTCCTCTACTCCCGAAACTACAACAGTAACAACCACACCATCTACAAAAGAAAGTACTACCACGACTACTATCCCCACAACATCAACTACAACTCGAGAGCCTACAACAGTAACAACCACACCCTCTACTACAGAAAGTACAACCACGGCTACTGCTCCCACAACATCAACAACTCCAAAAACTACAACAGTAACAACCACACCCTCTACTACAGAAAGAACAACCACAACTACTATCCCCACAACATCAACTCCAACTCCAGAACCTACAACAGTAACAACCACACCCTCTACTACAGAAAGTACAACCACAACTACTACCCCCACAACATCAACTCCAACTCCAGAACCTACAACAGTAACAACCACACCCTCTACTACAGAAAGTACAACCACAACTACTGCTCCTACAACATCAACGACAACTCCAGAAACTACAACAGTAACAACCACACCCTCTACAAAAGAAAGTACTACCACGACTACTATCCCCACAACATCAACTACAACTCGAGAGCCTACAACAGTAACAACCACACCCTCTACTACAGAAAGTACAACCACAACTACTGCTCCCACAACATTGACAACTCCAAAAACTACAACAGTAACAACCACATCCTCTACTACAGAAAGAACAACCACAACTACTACTCCCACAACATCAACGACAACTCCAGAACCTACAACAGTAACAACCACACCCTCTACTACAGAAAGTACAACCACGACTCCTGCTCCCACAACATCAACTCCAACTCCAGAACCTAAAACAGTAACAACCACACCCTCTACTACAGAAAGTACAACCACAACTACTGCTCCTACAACATCAACTCCAGAAACTACAACAGTAACAACCACACCCTCTACTACAGAAAGTACAACCACAACTACTGCTCCTACAACATCAACGACAACTCCAGAAACTACAACAGTAACAACTACACCCTCTACTACAGAAAGTACATCCACAACTACTGCTCCTACAACATCAACGACAACTTCAGAAATTACAACAGTAACAACCACACCCTCTACTACAGAAAGTACAACCACGACTACTGCTCCCACAACATTAACAACTCCGGAAACTACAACAGTAACAACCACACCCTCTACTACAGAAACTACAATCACAACTGCTATTCCCACAACTCCCAGTGCAACTCCAGAAACTACAACAGCAACAACCACATCTGAACGAACTACTGTTATAACTACAACAACTTCTCCAACTACCACACCTACACCAACAACAGTTACAACAAAAACTATTCCAGCAACAACGCATCCAGAAACTACAGCTACATCAACTTTGACCTCAACAAGTGAAATATGCACACAAGAATTCTGTGAATGGTCCAAGTGGTATGATGTAAGTTACCCGGGTGCAGCACTTGATGATGGAGATTTTGACACATTTAAGAATATAAGAGCCAAAGGATATAAGGTTTGTAAAGCTCCAAGAAATGTTGAATGCAGAGCGGAACGATTTCCCGATACTCCACTACAAGAATTGGAACAAAAGGTTATTTGCAGTAAAACAGAGGGACTAATATGTTATAACAAAGATCAATTTCCACCAATTTGCTACAACTATGAAATGAGAATTGAATGCTGCAAAAAAATAATTGTACCATGCCCCACTAGCTCACCATTAACAACTACACAACCACCAACTTCAACATCAAAATATACAACAGCAGTCAAAACCACGAAGAAACCAACTACGACAACAGAGACGACAACAGTAATGCGAGAAACAACCACAACAGTCCAACCTATCATTACGCAGATTCGCACAACTAGACAGCCATCTACAGCACAACAAAGAGAGAGAACAACTGAAGTTCCCGAAACCACAGCCACCACAAAGATGACACCACGAACTACCAGTCCAGTTCTAACTACGACCACAAGAGTTACTTCAGCAACATCCAAGCCAGTAACAACAAGACCTGAAATTGTTACATCCACAATTACGACCACAAAAAAACCCATAGAAACTACTACTACTACTAGTAAATCCTCCACTCCTAAATCTACCAAAGACCATACAACCACTTTGCCTACCACCACATCCTTGCCAACAACCAGTACAATCCAAGTGACAACAACATCTCCGGAAACACCTTGCTCACCCACGAAATGCCAGTGGTCCGAGTGGTATGATGTTGACTATCCTACTGTAGGACCTAAAGGAGGAGACATAGAAACATATGACAACATCCGGGCAGCAGGAGGAAAAATTTGTCCCAAGCCATCAAATATTCAGTGTAGGGCTGAAAGGCACCCTGAGCTAACGATTGCAGAAGTGGGCCAAGTTGTTGACTGTGATGTCAAGAAAGGGCTGGTTTGCGAGAACCAACAACAAAAAGGGAAATTTAAGCAGTGCTTAAACTTTGAATTACGGGTATTTTGCTGTGAACAAAACCCAGAGTGTCCGCCCACACCCGTACCAAGCACAACCACTAGCAAACCAGTTACTACAACCACCACAACAGTTGCTTCAACAACAACAACCAAGCCAGTAACAACAACAAAACCTGAAACTACCACGACTGTTACTACCACCACCACAACTCCTACCACCACCACAACTCCTACCACCACCACAACTGCTAGTACCAAAGTAACCACAGGAGCAACAACGACTAGATCCTCCACTCCTAAATCTACCAGAGAGCATACAACCACTTTGCCTACCACCACATCCTTGCCAACAACCAGTACAATCCAAGTGACAACAACTTCTCCGGAAACACCTTGCTCGCCCATTAAATGCCAGTGGTCCGAGTGGTATGATGTTGACTATCCTACTGTGGGACCTAAAGGAGGAGACATAGAAACATATGACAACATTCGGGCAGCAGGAGGAAAAATCTGTCCCAAGCCATCAAATATTCAGTGTAGGGCTGAAAGGCACGCTGAGCTAACGATTGCAGAATTGGGCCAAGTTGTTGACTGTGATGTCAAGAAAGGGCTGGTTTGCGAGAACCAACAACAAAAAGGGAAATTTAATCAGTGCTTAAACTATGAAGTACGGGTATTATGCTGTGAACAAAATCCAGAGTGTCCACCCACACCCATACCAAGCACAACCACTAGCAAACCAGTTCCTACAACCACCACAACAGTCGCTTCAACAACAACAATCAGGCCAGTAACAACAACAAAACCTGAAACTACCACGACTGCTACTACCACCACCACAATTCCTATCACCACCACAACTGTTAGTACCAAAGTAACCACGGGAGCAACAACGACTAGATCCTCCACTCCTAAATCTACCAGAGAGCATACAAACACTTTGCCTACCACCACATCCTTGCCAACAACCAGTACAATCCAAGTGACAACAACTTCTCTGGAAACACCTTGCTCGCCCATTAAATGCCAGTGGTCCGAGTGGTATGATGTTGACTCTCCTACTGTAGGACCTAAAGGAGGAGACATAGAAACATATGACAACATTCGGGCAGCAGGAGGAAAAATCTGTCCCAAGCCATCAAATATTCAGTGTAGGGCTGAAAGGCACCCTGAGCTAACGATTGCAGAATTGGGCCAAGTTGTTGACTGTGATGTCAAGAAAGGGCTGGTTTGCGAGAACCAACAACAAAAAGGGAAATTTAATCAGTGCTTAAACTTTGAATTACGGGTACTTTGCTGTGAACAAAACCCAGAGTGTCCGCCCACGCCCGTACCAAGCACAACCACTAGCAAACCAGTTCCTACAACCACCACAACAGTCGCTTCAACAACAACAACCAGGCCAGTAACATCAACAAAACCTGAAACTACCACGACTGCTACTACCACCACCACAATTCCTATCACCACCACAACTGCTAGTACCAAAGTAACCACTGGAGCAACAACGACTAGATCCTCCACTCCTAAATCTACCAGAGAGCRTACAACCACTTTGCCTACCACCACATCCTTGCCAACAACCAGTACAATCCAAGTGACAACAACWTCTCCGGAAACACCTTGCTCGCCCAYDAAATGCCAGTGGTCCGAGTGGTATGATGTTGACTMTCCTACTGYRGGACCTAAAGGAGGAGACATAGAAACATATGACAACATYCGGGCAGCAGGAGGAAAAATCTGTCCCAAGCCATCAAATATTCAGTGTAGGGCTGAAAGGCACSCTGAGCTAACGATTGCAGAATTGGGCCAAGTTGTTGACTGTGATGTCAAGAAAGGGCTGGTTTGCGAGAACCAACAACAAAAAGGGAAATTTAATCAGTGCTTAAACTTTGAAATACGGGTATTTTGCTGTGAACAAAACCCAGAGTGTCCACCCACACCCAGGACCACCACCACGATAACTACAATCATAACGTCAACCTCTCCTATTTCCACCACAACTGCAGAACTTAGTACTACTTCTATAGTGACAGAAACACCAACACCAACCTCCTCAGCCAGCAGCACAACTCAATGTCTCTGTCAAATTGGGGAAAAAACGTATCATCCTGGTGTGTATTTGCTTTCATTTTCCATATTGCTTTGCAGATAATATTAAAATTATGTTATTTAATTTTTTCATAATTTTTGGGAATATTCCATTATTTTATATTCATTTTAGTGCTATTTACATGGTTTCTGTCTTGTTATTAAATATATAAGGCTTTTATTTATTTATCGTGTCATCAGCAACCAGACATTTGTATTACATTATATATTACATATGTAATACATAAGGTGATGAGTGTAGTCAGCTTTGCATGAAATACTACACTGTAACAATATTAAAGCACTTGATCATTGGGGGCTATTGTTTTTTTAGGTGAGACTATTTACAATACAACAGACAGTGATGGCTGTTCTTTTTATGCCGTTTGTGGCTTAAAATGTTCTGTTGAGAGGTCTAAAGGGCCATGCCCAGCAACATCACCCACACCAACTCCAACTGTTGTGATCACAACTCCCTCTACAACTCCTGCTACCACAACACCGCTAATTGGCTGTCCTGATGTTATTCCGCCCAGGCAGGTAAGAACTGCTTCTTGCTTAACTTTAAAATTACACTTTTTAAATTGGGTTTGGCCATACAGGCTAGGCCGTAATGCTGTAATCACTTTTATGTGCACACTTTTTCAGTGTTTATCTTCCTAATGTGATGCAGTGTAGATAATGGTGGTACCTCTAACTTTAATAGAAAAGTGTGGTAGAACTGGATGTGCCCCCCACATCATTATGAATAAGCTGTCCTAAGCTTGAACTGGATGTGCCCCCCACACCATTATGAATAAGCTGTCCTAAGCTTGAATTCTGAAATCCAAAACCCAACGTTTTCCAGCTGAGATAATTGCTCCTTTGTATTCTGTTCATAAATTGTCCATAAACTTTGTTTCATAGAGAAAATTACATTAAAATATTGTCCATAAAATTACCTTCATAGATTGAAATGTGTATACTGGATACATGAAATAGAAATGAATTTCATGTTGTGTCTTGGGTGTCATCTCCAAGATACTTCATTATGTGCCTATATGCAAATACAGATATTCCAAAATCTGAAAAAATCAAAACCACTTCTAGTCCCAAGCATTTCAGATAAGGGACACATAAGCTATATTCGTAAATGAAATTATTTTAATCAGGTTGCTTGCACATTAAGCAGCAGAAGTATTGCAAATGATATTGTATGCCTCTTCAGAAATTGGAGCATGAAAGATGCTTATGTTGAAACTGCAATGGTCAAATGTCTGAAGGTACTTGGATAATGGAACTCACATGTAATGCGTACCAGATGGATTTTACATGTAGTGCAATAGGCAGAGCTAGTTATAGATCATATAGCAAGAAAGAGTAAATTGAGATTAAATTGTACTAACCTCCTGAAGTTTCTGTTCTTTAACAAAACAGAAGATTCACCAAATCTTTATACTGTTTATTAATATACACAAAATGGTATTTGCAAGATAACTGTCATGTACTGTCATGTGCTCAAGAGGACAGAAATGGAGAGGCTGTCCTCCCCTGGTCTGAACTGCACAAACTATCACTCATTCGTGATAGTAAGCTCCCACCATCCTACAACAGCAGGAGATGGCACCGAGGTTATAACCCATTCCTCTTGTTTGTGTACAGCAGTGCACTAAATCAGTGGGACCACCAATCCCAAACACACAGCACCGACCAATAGTATTCCAACTGTTTCCAACTATAAGGCCCCAGGAAGTTAGATTTAAACGAAGATTCAACTTCAGAAAGGCAGATTGGAGTAAATTCTCAGACATGTTTGATGACATGATCACATTGGTCGCGTCAATCCCTGAGAAATACAAGCACTTTATTGAAATAGTAAAAACCTGCTCACGGGCCTCCATACCGAGAGGCTGCAGAACCAACTTACCTTCAGGGCATTACTCCTGAAACAGCTGCCTTGTTGGAAAACTACTACAGGCTCCACAACAAAGACCCATTTAGTGAGCAAACTCTTCAGGCAGCGTAGAGCATTGTGTCCTCCATCTCTGAAGCCAAGAAAGAACAGTGGATAAAGCTGATCACAGAGGTCGACATGGGCAGGAGCAGCCAGAAGGCGTGGAGGCTGCTAAGACGGTTGAGCAATGACCCCTCATAAACTAATACCCATGCCAACATAAAGGCAGATCAGATAGCACACCAACTCTTGAAGAATGGGAAATCCAACCTTACCACCAAAGTAGGAAAGAAACCAATAGCCAGACACTCAGAGATTGAGAACAACAACCTCCACGAACCCTTTACACCTACTGAATTGGACATGGCTCTCAATAAATGTAAAAATGGCAAAGCAGCTGGCCTGGATGATCTACGGATGGAACAAATAAAGAACTTTGCCCGAAAAGCAAGGTGCTGGCTTGAGCTGATGAACAACTGCACTGCATCCTGTCAGATCCCCAAAATCTGGAGGAAAGCAAGAGTCATCGCCATCTTGAAGCCAGGCAAAGACCATCATGATCCAAAAAGCTATAGACCAATCTCCCTTTTGTGCCACCTCTACAAAGTTCTGGAGAGACTTATTTTGCATAGAATTATGGAAAAAATAGACCCATGTCTGATTCCACAGCAAGCTGGCTTCAGGAAAGGCAAAAGCTGCACATCGCAAGTGCTGAACCTGACTCAGCACATAGAAGATGGCTTTGAAAGGCAGCAGATCACAGGAGCTGTCTTCATAGACCTGTCAGCGGCTTATGATACCGTAAACCACCGCCTCCTCCTGAGAAAAATGTATACTATCACAAAGGACTACGGTCTCACCTGCCTCACAGGAAAGCTGCTACAAAACAGTAGCTTCTATGTTGAGTTCCAGGACCAGAGAAGCAGATTGCAGAAACAGAAGAACGGCCTGCCTCAGGGAAGTGTGCTTGCCCCATCCATGTTCAACACAAATGACCAGCCACTGCCAGAAGGGAAAGAAAGCTTCATCTATGCTGATGATTGTGCCATTACTGCTCAAGCAGGGAGCTTTGAGATGGTTGAACAGATGCTCTCTGAAGCTCTAGGTCAGGGGTCCACAAACATTTTAAACAGAGGGCCAGGTCACAGTCCCTCAAACTGTTGGAAGGCTGGATTATAATTTGAAAAAAAAATGAATGAATTCCTGTGCACATTGCATATATCTTATTTGTAGTGCAAAAAAACACTTAAAACAATACAATAATTAAAATGAAGAACAATTTCAACAAATATAAAATTATTAGTATTTCAATGGGAAGTGTGAGCCTGCTTTTGGCTGATAAGATAGGATTGTTGTTATTATTGTGTGCTTTCAAGTCATTTCAGACTTAGGTTGACCCTGATCGAGGGCCGGGTAAATGACCTTGGAGGGCTGAATCCGGCCCCCGGGCCTTAGTTTGAGGACCCCTGATCTAGGTGCTCTTACTGCCTATTACAGGGAAAACCAGCTGATTCTTAATCCATCTAAAACACAGACATGTGCCTTTCACCTTAAGAACAGACAAGCACCCTGAGCTCTGAGGATCACCTGGGAAGGAATCCCACTGGAGCATTGCAGCACACCCAAATACCTGGGAGTCATTCTGGACCGTGCTCTGACCTACAAGAAGCACTGCCTGAACATCAAGCAAAAACTGGGTGCTAGAAACAATATCATACGAATGACTGACACAACCTGGGGATCACAACCAGACACAGTGAAGACATCTGTCCTTGTGCTTTGCTACTCTGCTGCTGAGTATGCATGCCCGGTGTGGGACACATCTCACCACGCTAAAACAGTGGATGTGGCTCTTAATGAGACATGCCGTATTATCACGGGCTGTCTGCGCCCTACACCACTGGAGAAATTACACTTTCTAGCCGGTATCGCACCACCTGACATCTGCCGGGAAGTAGCAGCCAATAGTGAAAGGACCAAGGCAGAGACATCTCCAGTTCATCCCCTGTTTGGGTATCAGCCAGCACGTCAACGACTTAAATCTAGAAATAGTTTTCTAAGATCTACAGAAACACTCGCTGGAACACCCCAGCAAGCAAGAGTCCAAAAGTGGCAGGCTAAAACCCAGAACCTCAATCAATGGCTGATACCAAGTGAGAGACTCCCCCTGGGCACACAGAAGACTGGGTGACTTGGAAGGCACTGAACAGGCTGCGCTCTGGCACCACGAGATGCAGAGCCAGTCTTAAGAAATGGGGCTACAAAGTGGAATCCACGACATGCAAGTGTGGAGAAGAGCAAACCACTGACCACCTGCTGCAATGCAACCTGAGCCCTGCCACGTGCACAATGGAGGACCTCCTTGCCGCAACACCAGAGGCGCTCTAAGTGGCCAGCTACTGGTCAAAGGACATTTATTCAACTACCAAGCTTGCAAATTCTGTGTTTTGTCTGCTTGTTTGTCTGTTTTTGTTAAAAATGTAATACAAATGTCTGGTTGCTGATGACATGATAAATAAATGTACTATAAAAATATCACTGACATTAGTATTTGTTATTACTGGCCTATTGAATAAGAAGGATTTACTCAAGAACCAATTGATCAAAAAGCTGAGAAAAACATACAGAAATCATAAGAGAGATAAACCATACCTTGGTACACATATTTTTGTGCAATTAAGAAAGTCCAGCAGCAGTATTAAGGAGAATACTTTATAGATAATCTGTAATACTTATTCATATGTATGTATTTCTTATTCATATTAAATAGGTGATATTCGAATAGGATTTAACATCTGATGCTATCTGAAAAAAGAAATGCAAAAAGTCACAGTTCTAAAGCAATAAGTTTTGAATTTTGAATGAATGTTCAGATTTCATTAAGTTTTTTTCCAGTAAAATTCAAATGTGAGGGAACTTGGAATATTTGGAAATATTTGACTAAACATGTTTCTGCATTCTAATGGAAAATCGCAACAGGAACAAGTTGAGGAGTACACTTTGCATGCCACTGTTGGGTTGTTTTTAACTGCTAGGGTGAAAGCTTTCCTGTCTACTTCTACTTCTAATTGGGCTGCTCTGTAGAAAAGAAAAGAAAAGAAAAGAAAAGAAAAATAGATGCAAGAAAATGCTTGATGGCATATGTAGTTTATAAAATGGATACCACAAATTGAGCAGAAACCAAAAACTCAAGTGCCTGTTACTAGGAAAAATAAATATGCAACTCCTTCTTCCTTGTGGTCATGACACCTATTTATCATATTTCAATACAACTAAAAATATGCATAAGCCCTAGCCAGGCCAAACTGTATGTTGCGATAGTAACACTTCTTTCTCTGCTCAGGTTGGTGAGACATGGACATCAAACTGCACAAGATATACTTGTGAAGGAAACAACAAAATTGCTGTGAGTCATGTCAAATGTCCAAAGGTACAGGATATTGTGTGTGAAAATGGATACCCACCTGTAAAAGTCTTCCAAGATGATGGCTGTTGTTACCACTATGAATGTGAATGTAAGTGGATGTTACTATGAAAATACAATTGAAAATGCCATATCCTTTTTGTGATTTTCATAATGCATAAATGTTGCTATTTGATTCCTTATGGAAAAAAAGGCTGCAGTATCTTAAATGCTAATGGTTGCCATGTTGCAGTTATATTATTTTGATTCTGATTATATTTAATCAGGTGTATGCAGTGGCTGGGGTGATCCTCACTACATCACCTTTGATGGAGTTTACTACACCTTCCTGGACAATTGTACATACGTCTTGGTGAAGGAGATCACACCGACACATGACAACTTTACCGTTCTTGTTGATAATGCCTTTTGTGATTCAGAAGATGGACTTTCATGTCCTAAGTCTACCATTATTAAGTACAAGACTTCAACAGTAATTTTAACCCGTGAAAATGTTGATGGCATGGAAACCAATAAGGTAAGAACTATTCAAAATGTTGAAAACACTTATTTTAGGTTGCAATCTCATACAGGGAAGACAGGGGGACCTTTGACTTGCCTACTGGTAGAAATCTATACAAGTCTTCATGTCTAATCATTACACTTAATTGCTTTTACTTTCTGTGCTTTTGATGTTTAAAATCACTGTGATTAGAAAACATTTTGAAAAAGTCCTGAAATGTGAAAAAAACATCAATATGCATTAAAACTTGAATGATCTAACTGACAGAAAAAAACATTTTTAAATTTTTCATTCTTGAAAAGCAAAAGAATGAAGTAAGTGGTGGCTTATATCTCTTCCATTTTTATGTCCCATTTGGAATACTGTAATATGCCTTACATGCAGCTGTTCTGAAAAGCGTTCTGAAACTTCAGTTTGCCCACACCGCTGCAGCCAGTTATAGGAAACCCTTTTCACTGCATAATCTTTGGCTACTGAACAATCTGGGGCCACAATCTGAAATTGTATGATAACTTACAAAACCACAGATAATGTAGCATTCCTCCCATCTCTATTTATATGACCACATTTTTCTATAAGCTTCACCTGAGATTTTCAAGCAGGATGAAAGAAATTCAGAACATGGGCTGAATGTAGCCCCTCAAGGGTCTTTTTTAGGGACCACAATCCCATACCCCACAAATTTTATTGTATTTTTTTTCTTTATTTTTGTCCCATATTTCTCCCGAAAAGGAACTTGGGGCAGCTAGAAAAAAATATATAAAACAATACTAAATAAAAACAATGCAAATACATTAAAGTATAAATATAATTTTTTAAAACAATTAAATCTTGTATATTATTAAATGTTAACATATGAAAATGTATTAACATTTTATTACACCCCCCTCCCCAAATCACACTTTTAAAGGCCCTTTCCTCATCAATTTACAAATGCCTGGTGGGAGAGAAATGTTTTTTACTTGCCGACAAAATTCAAGCAAGGAAATTTAGGGAAGAAGCTGCAGATTCTGGGAGCAGCCACTGAGACGGCCCTCTCCTCGTTCCCACCTGTCCATTAAGAAGCATAGAGACACAATGCTACCATGTTTTTAGAGTCCTCTGGGCTGCTTTAGCCTCAGGAGAAGCTTTTTTATATCACCCAGGAGGTGAGACTGAATTTGAATGGTGACACTTTCCCATAAGAGCCTACAAAAATTTATAGGACAGGGTTGACTTCTGTTTTCCTTCCTGGTTTTAAAAGGTCCTCTCTTAAGTCTAAAACAGCCAAGAGGGATTGAAATGTGACAAAAGTGCCTCCTACTTCCAAGATGGCAAGAGGACATATACGTTTTTAAAAAATGGAGAGCATGGAAGAAAATTATGACATTAAGTCTGATGTGAAACCTGTATCACTTCTTGACCTCTAGTAATAGTCCATCTGGATTCCCCGTTCTCTCTGTTCTGAAATTATCAGAGATATACTGGGGGAAAGGAAAGCAACCATTTTTTGGCAGCTACACCTCTGCCTTTGAACACCCTACCAAAGCAGGACAGCTTCACATGCATGCATGTACATATACATATATAATTTTTATCCATATATGTCATTCTCATTTAAAATGACTTGATTCTGAAATCATTTTAAACTGGTAGATGCCCGTCTTCCTTTCTTTTCTATCAGTTTTTAACTGAGAGAATGTTAAGGATCACTTTTATATTATATTATATGTAGTTTATTGTTAATCCTTTTTGCTACCATTTCAGTGGAAAGGTGGGATATTCATATAATAGATGGCAATAAAATAAATGCATAACAGCAAACACAAAATATATAGAAATAGTCTTCTTTAAAAGTATGCACTTTTGTTTTTTGTTTTTTGTTTTAAATCACATGTAAAATTAATCCCGTATACAGGTTTACTTCAATGACAAGGTTGTCAGCCCAGGTTATCATCATGATGGCATGTATATCTCCTCACAAGGCATCAATATGGTGGTTGAGATCCCTGACATTGGTTGTGTGATATCCTTCAGTGGCTTTATTTTCTTGATCAAGCTTTCGCCCATCTATTTTGCCAACAATACTGAAGGACAATGCGGTAAGAGGTTTGGTTTAATCCCATCAAACAAACATGACTCATTCTTTGCAACCAATTATCATTTAAAACTGAGCCAAACATTATTGTACACCACTCTGCAAGTATGAGTACAGTACTACACATGATTTAGAAACGAACCAGAGAATAACATTTACCTCTATATAGGGCTATGAAAGACTCCTATGTGAAACTCTAGGGAGTCCTTGCTTCTCTGAGTTGTCAGTATGATGTAAAATGGACTAATTATTTTTCCTGTTTTTAAAAATGCCCATTCTGGTGTTTTTCTTCCTCATGTCTCTAAACTATAGGCATTTTAAAACCATTTTTGAGGTTTTTTGAGTTTTTGAGTTACCAGTATTAAAAAACTCAAAAATTACAGCAGAAAAACAACAGAGGGGAAACAAACAGGCACATGAAATCACCCTCAACAAAAGATTCCCCCCAGGCGCTACCAAGCCATTGAATGCAAATCAAGGTGATCAGCTGAAACATCCACATCTAGCCCCAGCAAACAAAAGTCCTTTGTCACACCCTGGTCATTCCACAGATATATAAACTTAGTTTTTCCTAGTTCCAACAGACCTCATTACCTCTGAGGATGCTTGCCATAGATGCAGGCGAAATGTCAGGAGAAAAATTGCCTCCAGAACATGGCCATATAGCCCGGAAAAACCTACAACAACCCATTTCATGGATACTAGGTATTTTAGGCATTTAAGGAAAAACTGAAAAGCAAAGAGGAGAGCCAATCTGATATTTACTTTAAAAAAGATATTTACTTTCAAGCAGCATTCAGTGTCATGGCCTAAATCTTGTCATTGAATTTTACACTGCATTTTATATTAATATAATTCTCCATATAGTTTGTCATGGATGTAAGGCCTTTTATCTTCTACTCTACATTTTGTTCCACTCAGGTACCTGCACAAATGATAAAAAAGATGAATGCCGCTTACCAAATGGTGAGATTACTAGTAGCTGTTCCCGCATGGCTCCCTATTGGAGAGTTCACGATGACAAGAAAAAGTACTGCCTTGGACCAGTACCAACACCATCACCTACAGAATCTCCAACCCCCTGTCCACCTAGTGAACTTTGCAAGATCATTTTGCATGAGTAAGACAAAATCTACTTTTTCTGTTACTTCTTGCAGTGGTGGTGGTAGTGGTGATATCTTGTGGAAGTGGGAGAGAACATTCCACATTTAAAAGAATAAAATTATTAGTCCTGGTCTGTGGGTTAAAGTTGGATATTTTTTGTAAAATAATCCTTAAGTACCATGAGCCTCAGACCTGTACAAATATAGGTCTGAGGGTGGATCTACACCAGGGGTCCTCAAACTTTTTAAACAGAAGGCCAGGTCACAGTCCCTTAAACCGTTGGAGGGCTGGATTATAATTTGAAAAAAATATGAATTAATTCCGATGCACACTGCACATATCTTATTTGAAGTGCAAAAAACCACTTAAAAACAATACAATAATTAAAATGAAGAACAATTTTAACAAATATAAGCTTATTAGTATTTCAGTGGGAAGTGTGGGCCTGCTTTTGGCTGATGAGATAGGATTGTTGTTGTTGTTGTTGTTGTTGTGTGCTTTCAAGTAATTTCAGACTTAGGTTGACCCTGAGTGAGGGCCAGATAAATGACCTTGGAGGGCCATATCCGGCCCTCGAGCCTTAGTTTGAGGACCCCTGATCTACACTGTCATATAATATAGTTTAAATCTGCATTATATGATCAGGGTAGAACTGCATTGTATCAGACCACATTGATCACATAATGCATATTCACTCTTTATCTATCCTCCCAATACAAGGAGATCCATATTGCAATCATGTGTACCTTCTCTTGGGGCAAGACCTACTAGTGAAGCTTGCTTTTGAGCAGGGAGTGAGTATATTCCACAAAAGAGTAGCTATATAAAAGATACTTATGTCCAAAATCTGGACGTTCTTGTAGAGCTGAAGGATTTCATCTTCTCTAAAGGTGGGGATGGAGCACATCTAATTGCCTATTTCTTCCCATCACACCCACAACCACAAAACTAGGTCTCAATTCAGAAAGTTTAAACACTGCTATATTCCAAGTATTACTATTATTACTACAGAATCTTGTTAATTAAGCAAAAGAGTCAATATTCTACATTGCCTACATGGTTATGTTTCCAGATTTTCATCCATTCTAGTCTATGCCCTTCATTTTGGGTCTATTTCAAATGGCTCAGGAACTTTTCCCCAAATGAGAAGAGGACTCTTCCCCTTTTCAATAATATTTTTTTCATCCCAAGTTTTTCTGTTCGGTTACAGTATCTTCTCCGAGTGCCATGACATCATACCACCTGAACCCTTCTACCGAGGCTGCCTCTTTGATTCTTGCCACCAAACAAATACCTCCGTGCAATGTTCTGGATTAGAGATATATGCTTCTCTCTGTGTCTCAAAAGGTGTCTGTGTTGACTGGAGAGCAAGTACCCAGGGTCAATGCTGTAAGTACCAGAGTTGGAATCTATGCCACTTTTTATTTACAAAATATATAGACACTCAAGACATATTCTGCATCTGTTATTTTTTATATAAAAACCCCCAGATAATTCTATTGTAGTAGATGCTAGCTGAATAAATAAATTGGAAGGTGTGAACAATTCAACTGTCAACACATGTTAGTGGGAATGTGGATCATAAGAGGTCTTTCCCAAGACTGATATTTTTTCCAGTACACATTCAATGAAGGCTTCATATGTTTATAAGTGAAATCTACATTCTAAACCAGTTGTTCCCAACCTTTTTTTGGCCATGTTCCTCCTAAGCATCTCTAAAATCCTGTTAACCCCTCCCATGACATATAATTCTTATTATTCAAAAAGGCCATTAATTCACCACGTTATCACACCAGGGCTTTAAAGCGGGCAGCCCCGCATTTCTGCCACCTGCAGAATTCTGGGAAATGCGGTTCAGGATGGAGCCTTTTGAATTCTCAGCTATAGAGGTTCTCGCCAACCTAAAATGGCGGAGTGACTGAACAAATTTGAGTTGTTGTTACTGCTTATTTTTATTTTATTTTTTATGTTGTACCACCTCACTTATTATAAAATAAATTTAAATGCCTGTGCACATACAGAAAAGCACTTTCCATATACTTAATCATATAGTCAGGAATAGGAGATAAAGCAAAGACATGCAGAGAAGAACAACATTCATTATGTGTAAAGACTTTGTCATTGTCTAACATTGATTTGTTTTTACCCTTTACAGCATACAACTGTCCTGCAGGCAAAATATATAAATCATGTGGCCCTCTCAACCCTCAAACATGTGAGAGGAGGTAAGAAAATATCAGCAAAAAATGTCCTTCAAAAGTAATTAGCAGCAATGTGGTGTTGATTGTATGCTGGATTTCAGCTGGGGAGACATGAGTGAAAATCCCTTATCTTCTGTAAAAATCTAGTGTCCAATCTCAGATGTTATAATCTCTCATCGGGTCACAGGCTTACTGTGAAAGTAAAATAGATTATTGAGAATTTGGACTACCTGAACCACTTTATGGAAGTGTAGTGAAGATATAATTGTGTTATAATTAGGGAATAATTATCTGAATAGTGTTAGTATGGGAAATACCCCTTTATATATGTGTGTGTGTGTGCGTAATATTTCTACAAAATATCAATGTATTATACATAAAAGCCTTAACAGCTGTAAACGTGTTATATGTTACATTCCACTTTCATTCAACAGGTGGTTGACATAAGTCATCTTATATACATCCTTCTTTTAAAAAATTAACATTTAACTATTTATTTAATATTAAAGCTTCCCGTGTTGCCCATCCCTCATCCCTCTCTCTAACCACATATTTATTTTATACTAACCATACAGTTTTCTTAATTTCTATAAGATGCTTTTTAACTATTCTGTATACGTCATCCATTTATTCTTTATTTCATCTATTTTATCTTCTTGAGTATCATCCCTCTTTATGCTTATTATAATTTGAAATTGGACCTGATCATATAGATAGCTATGCCAATTTCCCATCCATTTTTTCATCTTTCCACCCCCATGCAATTACTGCCTGTCCTGCCCAAATCATACTTTTGAAAAATTCTTGTTCTTTAGTTTTAATTCTGTTATTACGGTTCCCATTAATAGAATATCAAAATCTACCTATAATGGAAATTTGAATATTTTTCCATCGTTTCTGTTATCTTTTACCAGAAGGGAATTTCCTTTAGGCAATCCCAATATATTGCCAACCTGTGTGTGTATTTATCTCTTCAGACTTTTATTTGGGTGGCGAACAGACTGAATTGATTATGTTCCAAAGGTGTTTTCATATAAGTCTAACCTATGCTTATTTTTCATTGCAGTTCTGTTTATCATAATGGCAGTGGAATCACTGAAGGTTGTTTCTGTCCTGAAGGAACCCAACTCTATAGCGAACATAGTGATGTCTGTGTTAGTGAATGTGGTATGTATCCTTAATTTCAGGATAGAATTGATACATATTGTGAGTGGCAGTTGGTAGCTTCCAAGTAATTCTCTTGAAAGGATCTATCCAAGTTTCTGAAATGCTTTGGCATAAGGTTCAGCACCTTGAATAAAACCCACAGTATGCTACCCACCTTACTGACATGGGAATCACCAACCACCTCCATGTATTCTTAGGAACAATGGGTACAAAGATCAGTTTGCATTTTATTATTATCAACATTAACTACAATGTTTTTTCCTAGTTCAGATTCATTTACTCCAAGCATCTTTGCCCTTGCATTGTATTAGAAGATAAAAGCAGCTGTGTTAGATTTAACAGCCCTCCTTTGTTAGTGATCCATCTTCTAAGATACCACAATTATTTCCAGGGCTTTCTAACAGCATCATCCTAAAATCATTATTTCTTATATTTTTATCAGGTTGTACGGGTCCAGATGGGCAGCCCAAAGCGGTAAGTATCAAAACAATTATTCTTTGAGAACTATTAATGGGTGAACACAGGATGTTGGAATCTTCCTGAAAAAGAACAATTTTTAAGAATAATAAAGTGTTTGTGTCTTTGGACTATGGGAAAAATTTCTACCATGATGCCAAAAAATTGAGTTATTTACAGAAATGGAAGGCAATTGTATTTTGTGCAAAATGTGTCTTATTCAGCAAAATTGCATATTGTGCAAAAAAATCACATGTAAAAAAGAAAGGTTGCATGGCAAAGAGCAACATTTTCCATGGCAAAATAATATTTGTAGTGTAACCCACTTATTTCATGAATTCTTCATTAAAAAAAGTCCAGAAATACAAAATGTGCAGAAACTCTGATAGTTTATTTATCATGTCAGGAGCAACCAGACAGTTGTATTACATTTTTAACAAAACAAAAAACAGACAAAACACAAAGTTTGCAAGTTTGGTAGTTGATTAAATGTCCTTTGACCAGTATCTGGCCACTTGGAGTGCCTCTGGTGTTGCTGCAAGAAGGTCCTTCATTGTGCATGTAGCAGGGCTCAGGTTGCATTGCAGCAGGTGGTCAGTGGTTTGCTCTTCTCCACACTTGCATGTCGTGGATTCCACTTTGTAGCCCCATTTCTTAAGATTGGCTCTGCATCTCGTGGTGCCAGAGTGCAGTCTGTTCAGCGCCTTCCAAGTCACCCAGTTTTCTGTGTGCCCAGGAGGGAGTTTCTCATTTGGTATCAGCCATTGATTGAGGTTCTGGGATTGAGCCTGCCACTTTTGGACTCTCGCTTGCTGAGGTGTTCCAGCGAGTGTCTCTGTAGATCTTAGAAAACTATTTCTTGATTTAAGTCGTTGACATGCTGGCTGATACCCAAACAGGGGATGAACTGGAGATGTCACTGCCTTGGTCCTTTCACTATTGGCTGCTACTTCCCGGCGGATGTCAGGTGGTGCAATACCGGCTAGACAGTTGTGTAGGGCGCAATTTCTCCAGTGGTGTAGGGTGCAGACACCCCGTGATAATGCAGCATGTCTCATTAAGAGCCACGTCCACTGTTTTAGCGTGGTGAGATGTGTCCCACACTGGGCATACATACTCAGTAGCAGAGTAGCATAGCGCAAGGGCAGATGTCTTCACTGTGTCTGGTTGTGATCCCCAGATTGTGTCAGTCATTCGTATGATATTGTTTCTAGCACCCAGTTTTTGCTTGATGTTCAGGCAGTGCTTCTTGTAGGTCAGAGCATGGTCCAGACTGATTCCCAGGTATTTGGGTGCGTTGCAATGCTCCAGTGGGATTCCTTCCCAGGTGATCCTCAGAGCTCGGGATGCTTGTCTGTTCTTAAGGTGAAAACATATGTCTGTGTTTTAGATGCATTAGGGATCAGCTGGTTTTCCCTGTAATAGGCGGTAAGGGCACCTAGAGCTTCAGAGAGTTTCTGTTCTACCATCTCAAAGCTCTCTGCTTGAGCAGTAATGGCATGATCATCAGCATAGATGAAGCTCTCCCTTCTGGCAGTGGCTGGTCATTTGTGTAAATGTTGAACATTGGTGGAGCAAGCATGCTCCCCTGAGGTAGGTCATTCTTCTGTTTCTGCCATCTGCTTCTCTGGCCCTGGAACTCAACAAAAAAAACTCCTGTTATGTAGCAGGTTCCCTATGAGGCGGGTGAAATGGTAGTCCTTTGTGATATTATACATTTTTCTCAGGAAGAGGCGGTGGTTTACAGTATCATAAGCCGCTGACAGGTCTATGAAGACAGCTCCTGTGATCTGCTGCCTTTCAAAGCCATTTTCTATGTGCTGAGTCAGGTTCAGCACTTGCGATGTGCAGCTTTTGCCTTTCCTGAAGCCAGCTTGCTGTGGAATCAGACATGGGTCTATATTTTCCATAATTCTGTGCAAAATAAGTCTCTCCAGAACTTTGTAAAGGTGGCACAACAGAAACTCTGATACAATCCAGGAAGGAGAAATATCTTGAAATATTTAATTATTGCATATGAGAATAATGTACATGAATAATTTCATCCCTAGTGTTGATGGAACTCTCTTCAGCATAACCTTGGACTTTACTAGTGAGAGATAACTGAGAGTATTTTTAATATCCCTTTCCACAGCCTGGATCAACTTGGATCAGCAACTGCCAGGAGTGTACTTGTGAGAAACATTCTCGTAGGGTGAGATGTAAACCGATGGCATGTAAAGTGTCACCTACTCCAATGGACTGCCCATTGAAAGGATTTGTTCCCGTCCAAGTGATGACACCTGAAGATAAATGCTGTCCCCAGACACAATGTGGTAAGTATTGTTTTTGGTGTGCTTGCAACAAAAAGAAATATTGAGTTGACTCCTGATGTAGATGTCTGCAAGTAGTGAAAGGGGATTTTACTGCTTCTTTCCCTTCTAAATTCCTGTTGAAACCAATGAGGTATGGTCACAGTGAAAGTGGAGATTCCTCAGAAAATGAGAAGAACTTTCTGCAGATTGAAAATGCTTTTCTTTCTATGGAAAGAAGATTTTAGACCCAGTCTGTAGTGTGACTGACAATACAACAGTCAGATGGCCTCATGCAGATGGACTAGCATAACATCCAACCGTTATAGAGCTGTCTGGGAGACTTCATCAGAACTATGCCCTTGGCAGTTCACAAGATAAGACTAAAATATAATCTCCTTTCCTATGAAAATAGCAGAGCTCACAAATTTTGCATGACGGTTTGGCCTACCTTTGACATCTGTAGTATTGGATTTTCTGTTTTCCGCTTGTTTAAACCCTGTATAAACCCCTCAGTAGTGTGGGAACTGTGCCCAGTTCCAGTTCAGATAATGGCCTGTTATAAACGTAAAGGTTTCTTCTGACATTAAGTCTAGTCGTATCCGACTCTGGAGGTGGTACTCATCTCCATTTCTAAGCAGAGCACCAGCATTGTTTGTAGACACCTCCAAGGTCATGTGGCCAGCATGACTGCACTGAAAGCTGTTACCTTCCCACAAAAGCAGTACCTATTGATCTAATCACATTTGCATGGTTTCGAACTGCTAAGTTGACTCAAGCTGAGCCTAACAGCAGAGACTCACCCCGCTCTCCAGATTTGAACCACTAACCTGTCGGCCAGCAAATTCAGCAGCTCAACAGTTTAACTCCCTGTGCCACCTTTTTACCTGTTATAAATAGCTTAAACAAAACTTTCCAAAATGGGGCATTTTCAATTTGGAATATTCCCATTAAATTATATCACCACGGATGTTTGTTTGGCTGAAGCTGTGTCCTTTAAATCATTACAACAAGGTTTTGATCTGTCCGTGTTACAACCATGGTGTTAGCTGTCATAAGTAAGAATATTGAATAAACTTCTTAATTAATCTTGTTTAATATGAAAAACATCCTGAATTTAACTTCTGTCATTCTTTCTTCCACCCCCTCTGTTTGTCTTGCATTATATAGTGTGCAACACTTCTTACTGTACACAAACCATCAAATCCTGTCCAGTTGGATATACACTGAAACAACAAAATCTGCCAGGAGACTGCTGCATTAATACCACTTGTGGTAAGGATTGAAATATAAGTAGAGAACCTGAAATTTCATATATATATATATATATATATATATATATATATATATATATTCATTCATTCATTCATTCATTCATTCATTCATTCATTCATTCTCTCTTTCTCTCTCCCTCCCTTCCTCCCTTTTTCTCATGCAAACATTTGTGTAGTGAGGGGAGATAAAGGGAAACAGATGTATGCATTATAGACAGTCATTTCAATGGCCATATTGTCTCAGGATCTTCAGAACCAGTGGCACATTTTTGATATGTTGAAAACACCCTTTCCTGTGTTGGCCTGCAAGCCAATTATAATTTTCAAAACTTTTTTTGAATAGGAGGGCTTTTTAAATAAGTAGATTTGTTTCATTTGTGTACATTTATATTGTGTGGTTTGCCAAAATCCTCAATGGAAATGGCTGACCCTCAAGAAACAAACTTACTGAATGTCTTCCTGATGTCAGCAAGATTACCATTAATACGTATTAAATATTTTCTGATCCATTTTCAGTTGGATTCACCATAACTCTCTTGTATGCCAGTTCTGCTTTAACTTACAGTTTTTAGAAATACAATATGCTCCCAAATTTGCAGGTAGCAATCTTAAATTAAATATATCTTGACAATTTCCGCCTCAAAACACACATTTTAAAACTATTTTTTCTCAAAATAAGCAATACACCACTGTGAATGTTGCAACATTCAAGAATGTGTGTAATTTATCAGTTGATTAAATTCTGTTTTGAATATTAGTTTGAGAAAAGATGTTTTGACACACTGACATACCATATCAAACAACCAGTAATTACCATAAGGCTTTTTGTCTTCTATGTAAGAGTATTATGATGAGCATTTTTCATTGCTACCTTCACCATTTTTACAAGCATTCTCAATGCAAACTCAGTTTGTTTTTCTCTCTTTTATTAAAAAAGAAGAGTCATAGAGTTGGAAGAGACAACATGGGCCATCAAGTCTAACTCCCTACCATATAAGAAAAGCGAATCAAAGCACCCTTGACAGATGGCCATCTGGCCTCTTCTTAAAAGACTTCAGAGGAGAAGCCTCTGCCACACACTGAAGCAGAGAGAGTTCCACTGCTGAATAGCTCTTACAGTGGAATATCCTCTCCTGTAATTTGAACCCATTGCTCTGAGTCCTCTTCAGGGCAGAAGAAAACAAGCCTGCTCCCTCTCCTTATGACATCCTTTCACATATTTATACATGACTATCATGTCTCCTCTTGACCTTCTCTTCTGCAGGCTAAACATACTTAGCTCTTTAATACAGTCCTCATAGGGCATGGTCTCCAGACCTTTGATCCTTTTAGTTGCCTTCATCTGGACACCTTCCAGCTTGTCAATATCCCTCTTAAATTGTGGTGCCCAGAATTGGACACAGTATTCCAGGTGAGGTCTAACCAAAACAGAATAGAGAGGCTCCATGACTTCCCTCGATATAGACACTATACTCCTTTTGATGCAGCCCAAAATTCCATTGGCTTTTTTAGCTGTAACATCACATTGTTGGCTCCTGTTCAACTTGTCCATGAATTCTCCAAGATCTCTATCACATATACTGTTTTCAATCTAGGTGTCATGTGCATTTCATTTTTTTTCTGTCTAAAGGAAGTATCCCTTATTTTGCCTCGTTGAAATTCATTTTGTTCATTTTGGTCCAGCTCTCTGATCTGTTAAGGTTGTTATGAATGTTGATTCCCTCTTTAGAATATTGGCTGTTCCTCCCAATTTGATGTCATCTGCAAACTTATAAGCATATCCTCAATAAGAGTGTTTCTCAAACTCTGCTCTCCCAGATGTTTTGGACTTCAATTCCCACAATTTCTAACAGCTGGTAAGCTGGCTGGGGTTTCTGGGAGCTGAAGTCTAAAACACCTGGAGGAGCAGAGTTTGAGAAACACTGCTTTAAACCTTCCTCCAAGTCATTAATAAAGATGTAAAAATCTTTTCACACAGTTAACCTTAACAAATGCTTTTCCAAATAAAAATCTTCCTTGAAGTATACACAGATTATCTTTTGCCATCTTGTCTTGTGAGGAGACTATCTTTGAGGCTTTTGTTTCCTCTCATTAGTATGAAATAAATATCCAGTGTTTTCTTTATACAAGCAAACAAGCAAGCAAAAACAAAATAAAAATACATAGCAACTTATGTTCCTACTTCATTACTGTTTTGCTTTCTGATTCTGTTATGAACACTAGAGAGAAAATGTAAATATTAACCTTAATATACTTTCCTTTATCACAGAGAAAGTACCAGGCTGTGTTGTTGGTGGCAACCTCTACCAGGTAAGTCTGTTCCATAATAACAAATGCTAAGAATACTAACCAACTTTTCAATGTTCAGAGATGGCTATGCCAGCCTTCAAGAACAGCTTTTGAGGATTGCAATGTTACCCTAAACACTTGATTAAAATATGCATTGTAAGTTAACTATCCGCACAAAGGTTCTGTTTCCATCCAAGAGTGTACTGTATTCACAAAATGGTACTTGTGATTATAGATGGTGCTGCTTTCCTTTAATCAGGTTATCAGTTGATGAAACAACAACATGAAGGATATGGTTTAAAAGCCACTAATCATTCCCATACCAAACCAGCAAGTTTAATTTATTCCACAACCCAGCAACATATTCCTCTTTTATAAACACCAGCTAGAATTCTGTGCTTGTAGCTGCATATCTCACAGGATCATACAGTTTTATTATGTGAATGCAGACAACATCTGCCTACTCCTTTTATATATTTCATGCCTGCTGCACACAGACTTTTTCCTTCTGTTGACACTACCTACAAGGCCTACATGTCTTGACAGCAACAGATCCCATTTGCTTTGAGGAGTGAAGCATAATCAGATCTCAGTAGTATTTTGATAGAATAGGGGTCCTATTGGCTGTATTTCAGAGGAAGGCAGTAAAATCACTTCTCACTATTCCTTGCCTAAGAAAACCCTATGAAATTCATGAGGTCACCATAGATCAATAGGCAACATGAAGGCACATACACATATGCTGCCTCTTAAATGTTTATAGTCATTGTGTCATAGAAACTTGACACTGAAAAACCTCTGGCTTTTCAGTGGTGGTAAGAATGTAAAATTGAGTTAATATATATGAAAGTTTAATTAGTAATTATGGACAGCCAATTTATGCACCAAGTAAGCTACCAGTACGTCTAGCTTCATAGCAGAAGTGCTAAGAAATCCCTTTACTGAATTGTGAATATGCAAAATGAGACATCAGTAAGAGTGCCAGTTGTGTATTAGTGCCCAATACACATCAGCACCAACTTAATGTGCATTGGGACTGATGTGTATTGTCCTTGCTGTATAGCAATCCTGCTATGTATTGGTTCCAATGCACATCTGGCATTTCGTCTGTTTTGCTATAGTACCTTAGCAGCGGTTCTCTACTGGATGTCAATATTACATGACTAATTCAAATTCACACATATGTAGGTTCATTTAAGAAAACTCAAGTGCCCAATAGGATTCTGATCAAAAATGGTTGCTAATATTTAAAGCAGTCTTCCTTTGAGATTCCACAGGGATTTGGCAGATGCAGAACCTTCAAATCTACTTTATTCAAAACAGAGAGGTATAAAATGTGTTGCAAATTTGGTAGATGAAGCAAACTGCTTCTCCTCCTTTAATGTTTTTGCTGGGGATGATTCACTTGTGTAATTTAAACTTCAAGGGATCTCTGGCATTTGAAAAAAAATCACTTCTATAGAAATATACCGTTAGAGGATATATGATGCTACTGATTTATAGAATCATGTTGGGAGTATTTACTCATCTTTCTCTTGTGTCTGTTCTTAGCCTGGAGCAAGGGTTCCAGGAGGCATATGTGAAAGCTGTACATGCTCTCTAGAAGAAGACTCAGAGACCGAATCAAATGAAGTGAAATGTGTGTCACAAGTGTGTCATACAAGCTGCCCAGTGGTAAGAAACCTTTTTGTTATTATTTTCCTGCTTTTCTTCTATTTACCACCCATCTGTCTATTCCAGACTCTATAGATTTTTTCATTTTTTCTCTCAAATAGGGTCAAGAATACAAGCAAGTGCCTGGACAATGCTGTGGTAACTGCACTGCAGTGGCTTGTGTCCTGAAACTAGGACCCAATGAATCCCAAGCTATTAAGGTAGCTAATAGGTTTATTGACTTTGCACATGAGTTTTGGCATAGAGTCCCCCTCTTTATTCTACCCCATTGTATGGATATCTGTTCTTTTCTTGTAAAACTAATAGGGTTGAACAAACAATCAACTGCCTCATTAGAGTGCGAATGCATCTTGAATGCATCTTTCCAATTATTGAAACTGCTTTCTGAAGCATTAATGGAGATCTTTCCCTGTCTCGCAACCTTCAATTTTTTTAATGTCCCTTCTGGCCTATTAACTATGCTCTGCTCTTTCCAAAATAAACATTCCAATGAGGACAAAAATGCTCCATCCTGTCTTCCCCACTTCTGAAAGAATTTTTCTTCATTTAACCTCCACTAACCTAATAAATGGAATCTAGAAATAATTACTGGGTCAGTTTTTCAGAGGTGCTGCAGACAAGGGGGCAAAACCTTGCCCCACCATAGTTGATCACTCTTGAAGCTAATAAACAAACACATATCATTTGAGACAAACATGAACCAGAAAATAAAGATTACACCAACTTTAGGAATATGAACAATGAAAGCTTACAATGAAGGGTGTTCTCTATTGATATTTGATCATGGTGATTCTATAGAACAAAATAGAACATGTGTAGTATAACTGTCAAAGGAAACTTTGATGACAATATGCATCTCCACATATTTAAGAAACCTTTTAACACCAATCTGCCATAGTAATACATCGAAAAGGCATGCTTTTTCACGGTGACGGTAATATGTTGGTCAACTTTCTACTATCTGGCACCCTCCAGATGTATTGGACCAGAATTTCTATCATTGCAAAACAAGATGATTAACTGGGTGAAATACTGGTTTTGGCTGTATAAGCAAAACCATTTATAGATGGCATAAGAGTGGTATGTGATATCCTCTAAAATGGTTGATTTTTTTTTTCAGCCTGGAGAACGCATGCACCCTCCTGGAGACAACTGTACCTTCTATGAATGTGATATGATTGATGGCCAGTATGTTCTTGTCACTACCAAGAAAACCTGCCCTGTGTTTGATTCAACTGCCTGCAAGCCTGTAAGTACACCTGAACAGCCACAGTCTTTGTGTCTATTTAATTGCCTACCTAGTGAGAGGAGAGTTTATCTAAGACAAAGCAATTAATTGTTGGGCCTAATTGTCTAGTTCCAAATGATTATAATAGGCAATGGTCTAGACTTGACTTAGTTGACCTTAAATCGTATTGATTGCAGTAGAAAACAGTTAACTTGACCCACTGAGATCAATGGAACCTACATTAATGGGTATAACCCTCGATATCTAAGCAGTTGTGCAAACATGCAGTTTATCCAGGGCTGGCAATTGAAGACAGTAGGGCAGAAATAACTATTCCTCCTACATGTGTTGTTCTATGCCTGGCCACTTACTTCATTAATCCAGTTCAGTGGCTGATTTCGAGGTAAGCTTGAGCTTTGGAACTTCATAGTTAGACCTGAAGGCATCCATCAATAAAGGCTCTCCTGATTCTCTGCCAGGGAATGATATCCAAGTATCATTCAGTTGATTTTTAGATACCTTCAGCATGTCATTATATACATTTGTCTTAAATTTAACTTCCAAAGCTCCACCCTGGCATCCCCCATCTCTCCTCCATCTGATTTGGCTTTCAACATGTACTTTCCATCCTTAAAAAAGTAGAAGTGTGTCCCTGTATCTAAATTTGTTATCACTTGAATTTACTCTGTACTATTAATATGAAATAACTAGTTTATGTTGTATGCCAGATTCAGAGAGGTAAAAGATTAAATGTTTGCTAATAAACTTAAATATAGTCTGAGAAAAAGTTAGTCTAGCCTAACACACCTATAGCAAGTTATAATTGTTGTTAACCATACTCATATTTAATTATTGTACTTTTTTGTAATTATAAAGGTCATTAAATGCATTTGGGGGACAATTCATTTGAGTTTGTGGACTCAGAGATTGCTTATCATCCCTGGCCTGTACCTTTCTAGGGAATTCTTTTTCACTGGCAGAAAGCCGTCTTGGTGTTTTGTTTTTTGTTTTTTTTGGGGGAGGTGAGATGTAGTGATTTGTTTTGCTTCTTTTTAAAAAACATTTTGTTCTTTTAGGAGGATGTAATAAAAACAGATGATGGCTGCTGTAAGATGTGCCGACAACCATGTAAGTTGTGCAACATGAGTTATAATACAGTTGAAAATATATCCCCAATGCACTCATGTCTGTCTTTGTTAATATTAACTGCATTTGGACAAGAAGGTTCTGAGCAGACAGGAAGTATTAAGTCCTGTGCCTTTGAAGCATAGATAAAAGCTGTGGAGTTAAAACTGTGGTGAGAAGTAATTTTGTATTAAGAAAAGGCAGGCGTCCATGCCCCAGTGATATTGGTAGACAGGAATATAGAAGAAGGCACCTTAGGAATCTACATTTATAAATTTTATTAATATTGTTTTACCTTAAGCATGCAACACATGAAGCCATGCATTGCAGGCCTCATTTTATAGGCTTTGCAAACATTGCAAAATGTCAGTAGAGTCAATGTTCCATTGGATGAGAAGAGTGGAGCTTTGCAGATATCACTGAGCTTCAGACTCCACCAGTTCAAATGGACATGGTTGTTCTAGCACAACATTTGGAAGCCTACAGTTTATTCACCCATGCTCTCACTCTCTTAAAAAGGGAGGGGGGGATAATCGTACCTTTTTCATTGTTTAAATGCTCTCCAAAAGTATCAAGATTCAAGAAAGTTGCAAGTTTCTGAGGTGGGGGGGGGGGGGAGGAGAGAGATGGTCCCAGCAGTTTATTTTGTGTAGCCTCTTCATACATGGATACAAGTGTACACATCACCCTATCTTCAGCCACAGTATGTAGCCATGCTGGTTTGTTTTTTTTTAAAAAAAAAAATCTTATTTCCTTTACAGTGAAAATCTGTACGCCAAAAAGCACAAGAAGTGTCATCAAATACAAAGGCTGCGTAGCTTCTTCACCAGTTGAATTAACATATTGTGAAGGACACTGTGGCAGCTCTTCCATGTAAGTAGCAAAATATTATTTCTCACTCCTCCTGCAATCAATTTTTATTTGTGTTGTTGCAGATCTTGTTTGCCAGCCAGAAATGTATTGGCTGAATTCTTTATATTTTGTAGTTAAATGGGAGATAGTCATACATAGGGCCCTCTGGTGGCACAGTGGGTTAAACCACTGAGCTGCTGATCTTGCTGACCAAAAGGTTAGAGGTTCCAATCTGGGGGATGGGGTGAGCTCCCACTGTTAAGCCCAGCTCCTGCCAACCTAACAGTCTGAAAACATGCAAATGTGAGTAGATCAATAGGTACCGCTTTGGTGGGAAGGTAACAGCGCTCCATGCAGTCATACTGGTCACAAGACCTTGGAGGACTCTACAGACAATGCTGGCTCTTCAGCCTAGAAATGGAGATGAGCACCACCCCCAGAGTCTGACACGACTAGACTTAATGTCAGGGGAAACCTTTACCTTTACCTTAGTCATACACAGCAGATTTACAAAAACTGTTTAGATAAACAGTGCCAGTTATGCAACATAAAGGCTAGAGTTTTACTCAAGATCAGATTATTTTAGTCTTTTCCCCCCTTTCCCCCTTTTTGTCATAAAATATGGAGGTAGAAGCTATTACAAAGGTCATTTAATTTAAACCGATATATTAAACCCCTTTGCCCATTGGCCATCCAACATATTTGTCACTCTGTTCAAGAACAAGAGAGGATGGATTTCTATCTGACTGTGAGGTTTTAGTCATTGATGTCCTTGGCATCTCTTTCCACTCTCTGGTTCAATTATTCTTTGAATTTACATGACGAACCATATCAGACTTTGTGCATTTTTAACCACAATGGCCCCATAAACTCCATCTGCTACCCAATCTTACATCTGCTGCTCAATCTTACATTGAGCAGCACAGCATGGTGCTCCATCTAGATTCTCCCACTCAGCCCCGGCAGCTGTCAGTCCCCAAGATAGAGTCCTGCTTGTGGTGCCCAGTAGAAAGAGGTGGGAGTGGGTGATATCTTCAACAAAAATAAGCAGTAGGTCTCTACTTAGAGCAAGGAATCAATACAAGTGAGCTCACAGATGCAATGCAGACTCTTTTTCCTTCCCCTGGAAGCCCAGAGCAGCCACATTTGCATGCAAATTATTTTCCTCACTGGTAAGTAGCAGCAATAGTGTTGGATGGTGCACAACAGGCTAGAGAGCAATTCCCAGCATCCTATTTTTTTTAAAAAAAAGGCATATGCTACACTACACTTGTGCATGCGACTCTCATTAACAGGATAATGCCCATTGTCTATCTTTTTCCATATGGCAGTGTGCATTCCACAACTCCATAGATTTTCTTTTATTTTTATACATATGTATGTGTACATCCAGCTATATGGAATTTCTACCTCCATATTTGACCTTGTTACTTTGCATAAACCCTTACTGCATCACAACTAGGATTTCACTCAAGAACTACTTTTTAAATAATACTTGGAAGCTTCCACTATATCTTAAACTAAAGCTAAACATGTTGAGTTCCTTCAACTTTCTAATGTCTAGGGTTCACCACTTTAGCCTGATTTGAACCATTCAGTTTGATATAGAGCATAACCCTCACATGGCTGTGGACTGCAATGTTTGTTGGCTGTAAGAAGTATGATGGAGGTTTGATGGAAGTTGTAGTCCAAAAGATTCAGATAGCCATGAATTTCCAATCTCTGGAACTATGGAATGATTGCAAATTATGAAAAACATTGTGGGGGAAAAACATCAGATATTTATTTACTTTCTGAGCATAGTTCTTAATATTTGAAAAAAATCCAATTTGCCATAATTAAAGTTTAATGTCTTCTACTGGTAAGAAGATTTGAATCCTACAAAAGGTATATATTATGCAGATTAAAAAATAGCTATAATGTCTTTTACTTTTCATAATTGATTGTGTTTTGCTCCTATCTGCATATTTTGTCTAAGATTTGCAAGTCATAGCAATGGTCAAGGAGACATGTAGGGCACTGAAGCTAGCCTAGAGACTCCAGTCCAGCCTGAGATTTTCAGCCATATTTGTAGCTTTTGATATGTCAGCAGACTTTGTCTGTACATTATCTCATTTGCTTTAGTAGGGAAATGAAAGTAAACACTGGTTATGTGTAAGGACATCAAGTCCTTGCATTTCATATCTTTTCTGATGCTTCTGCAGACCTGTGGCATACACATGTGGTCCTGCCCTAAAGCCTGCTTCCTGCCGTGGTAATTTAAAACTCTTACTTTTCCAAGCTCTGGGAGCTCAGTACCATAGCCTTTCATGTAGCTACATCTCCACAGTAATACCAAATGATGTTACTCTTCCAGCCCTAACTTTTATCGGATTTTGCACTTCTCCATTAGCCCTGTCCTGAAACCATTGCACATACTCTTCGCTCTCCAAGCTCAGTATCTATTACTGATCAGGCTAGGATTGTTTTTATGATGTTGTGTTGTGATATTGTGATGTGTTTATTTTATTTTTGATTATTTTGATTTTATTTTGATTTTATTTCATTGCATCGTGTTTTAGTCTATGTTTTTTCCAGGCTCTTCCCTATGTAAGCCACCCAAGTCCTTTTGGGGAGATGGAGGCGGGGTATAAAATTGAATTATTATTATTATTATTATTATTATTATTATTATTATTATTAAATATTCAAATCAATCGCCTGCCATGCAGACCAAAGTTGTGAAAACTAGCAATGGGTCCAAAATCTTCCTCCTGGATCAGCAGCTATTCTAATCTTTCCTTTGTTTTCTCTTTGTAATAATCTAGATATTCTTACAAGGCAAACACATTGAATCACAGCTGCCAGTGCTGCAAGGAACTCAGGACAACCAAGAAGCAAGTGACACTGACTTGTGCAGATAACTCCACCCTGGATTATTCTTACATTTATATTGATGAGTGTGACTGCATGGGTAGCGAATGCAATCCCCAGCCCACCTCCTCATCAGAACAACAGCAACAAGAAGAAGAGGAACAGCAACAGCAGCAGGAGGAGCAACAACAGCAAGAGCAGCAACAGCAGGAAATACAACAGACACAATAGTACCAGCAAGGACAGGCCAATACATCGATTTTAATGACAGAGTACAAAATAAATTGAAATAAATATTCTATCAAGTAGAAAAATATCCAGGGCAGCATTGAAAACATACAGATGAATATTTTTCTAGATTTACTTTGTCTTTGTGTTTTCTATCTTCTTTTCTTTGGGGTACCAAACAAGAAATTCTCAGGTTTATGCTTTTCTTGAGTGAGTTACCCTATCCAGCTGCAAATTATATGGGAAGGGGGTGGAGACCTTGGTGTGAATTATTAGGATGCTGGTAGGAATATTAAAGGCCCTTGACTTGACTCCGCCCGCCCTTGTAAAGTTAGGACTCCAATATTAGCCAAGTGTCACATGGATAGCAACATTTCTAATGGAAGCACATGACTTCTTTTCTTGACCACTAGTTGGCACTAGCCAGACATCATTATGGAGCAGAAGAGCTACTAGGAGAGGCCCATTCCATTCCATTTCAATTTCATTCCTCAAGACTGTTTGTTCATATTTACAGTACAAAAGCTAAGCACCTACTTTCCCAGTTTTTGCTCTGTTCTTTCAACTTCTGTTTCTACAAACTTCAGTCTGGTGAAAGACGTGGGGCTACAGAACTAGGTTATTTGTAGATTATTCTTGTGCAAAATGGCAACAAACAAACCCTGATGAAGTACGGCTGCTGCTGAAGAAAATTCTCTGTTTACATAGTATCCTCAGCATAGTAACTGTATAAAGATTTGAATGTTTTTAATAACTGTTTACAGAATGAGTATAGATTAGATATAGAGATGTATATGCCAAAGGGTCATATGAAGAACTTTTGTAAATTGAAATAATAGCAAAAGCAATAATATAAATTCTGTTCCAAGCCAGCTAGTTATTTTTTAATGTTGTACCATTACTATTTATTTGTTAAGGGAAAATAGACTTCAGGGGCTATTTTCTTCAGAATTATTACTGCCTGGTTGAGGGATAACTTCACCTTTGCCATTTTTGTTTCTTTAAAAGAACTGCTACAATGATTAATAAACTTTCAGCATTTTGCAACTGGTTTGGCTTTTCTTTCTGATAACCTGTACTTCCTTTGTAAACATTACTTTGCTACAATAACCTAACATGACTATCTCATCAAATATACTTGTTTTGTCTCAGAGTGGATGTGCATGGGATTCACAACCAGACCCCAGCCTCAATCCTCATGAAAACTATCCACCAATTTCCATGCTATTGTTAGCCATAGAGGGAAGATTCCTATCAGTATCACATCTAGTTTTGCTCTTAGTACGAGAACCCGGTTTGCAATTTTTATTAGCACAGCCAGGGTTTTCAAGGGACTCAGAGAACGGCACATTTAGAATATCCATGACAGTGCATAATAAGTTCATCCATCTCTTACATATATGAAAAAGTACCAAGAGAAGAAAGAAAAAAGACAATGACTTACTATTTTCCAAGTCATTTTTGCCTTTCACAGTTCTAAGAAAACAGTAAAGAGAGTGTTGCAGATTGCAATCCTGGATTTTTTTTTCCAGCTGGTTCCGAAGAGGGCAATTGCAGAAAGTAATACTTTTAGGACATATATTTGAACTATTGTGGAAAAATGAGTCAGCTACATCAATACTCAATTGCAAAATAAACAGTTTTTCTCAATGTTTTTACCCGAGGAATCCATGAAATAAATTAATATAAAGTCATTATCAAAATTCATTCATCTGTAACTGTTTCATAGTCATAATCATTTCTTAGCCATGACTGTAACATCATTGCCACAGTTGTAACTCTTCCACCACCACCACCATCCTACTTTACTAGACATTAGTTACATGAGAAGATGAGGCCCATTCTTCGGGAGACTGGAGTATGCATGAATGACATTCCCTTCAGTCTGGGAGGGAGTTGAGTCAGGAGATGTTAAGTGTACACAACTAAGTAGCTTATATAGGATTTCAGCCATGGTAGAACCACTAGTAATGTTGCAAGCAATTTTAAGGTTAGAGCAACAAAACTGAACCTTTTTTAGTCTAATTCCTGGGGCAACACACTAGGTTCCCCCCCCCCCCCGGGGTTTTGCATATGTGACGTAACATCTACACTGCCATATAATCCAGCTTCTGAATCCCAAAGATCTGGATACTTGCATCACTGCAGCCAGGCTTTGAAGCTACAAGGCTTAGCTACAATGCTTAGCTACAATGCTAATCAAGGTCACCAATTGCATTATTCCCACTTGCCTCTGCTGATGAGATAATACTTCTGGAACATGGTGAGACAATACTGAAAGGCACTAGAGTTTAATTGAACTCAGTAGGACTTATTTCCAAGGCTATTTTTCAAAAGAAAATCAATTTCTCTACCACCTCTTGAAATGCTGAAAAAGACTGCTGGTCTCCACACTTAAAACTACACAAAGACTGCTGTCTTCTTACCTTGAAGCCAAACAAATATGGTGGGATCATATGGTAGCTTCCCAAATTTTAAGTGTAGGACTCGGTGGAATTTAATCTATGTGATGAAGTGGTTCAACTGTCATGGCTCAATGCTATGGAATCCTGGGAGTTGTAGTTGGACAGAGAAGGCTAAAGACCTTGCAAAACTATAATCTATAATCAAAACTATATAGCATTAAGTCATAACAATTAATTCTACAGTGCAAATTACAGTGTAATTTTATTTATAATGAAAATAAATAATCCTTTTAGGGAAAAACATTTTTAGAACATGCTGAGCTAACACTAGAGGGCAATATGTATACAGTGTATACACTGGGTCACATTATTTATTTATTTATTTATTTATTTTAAATGCCCAACAGTGGAATATTTTATGATCCAGTTTGGGACCTAATCTAGTTGCTAATTCTAATGATGCAATCATGAAATCAAGGTGACATATGAGTGTTGATTTACTAATTATCACTTAATTGCAATGAATTTACTCTAGTTTGGATTAGTAAATGGATTTAGAATCATGGAACATAGAATTGGAAGAGACTATAAGGGCTATCCAGTAAAACCACATTCTTCCCTTCAGGAAGACACAATTCATTTTGTAATTTTATTTAAGACACCATCAAAGCATTACCAATTCCCAACCAGCCACTCTTTAACAACCTCTAGAGTAGGAAACTTCACCACATTTTGAGGCAGCGTATTCCACTGTTGAAAAGCTCTTATCATAAGGCAGTCTTTCCTAATGTTTAGGTGGGATCTCTTTTCCTGCAGTTTGAATTTATTGTGTCATACCTTGGCCATCCCTCATAGGGCTTGGCTTCTAAACCTTTGATCACCTTTCTCTGCACATAGTCTAGCTTGTCCATATCCTTCTTGAATTGTGATGCCCAAAACTGGACATAATATGCCAGGTGAATTCTGACCAGTGCAGAATAGAATAGGACTAATAATTTCCGTGATCTAAAACTTATACCCCTATTGATGTAGCATTACCTTTTTAGCTGCTGCATCACACTATTGATCCACACTTTAGGTAAAAGAAGCTAGAGGTTACAATATAAGTTCCTAATATGATTGTTGGTTCTGAACATCAACTTAGTACCATGGAAAATAGTAAAATATGGAGACTGGAAACAAAATTAACATGTCAGCAAATGGAATATGTCAACTAGAATAAATCTAATTGATTGTTGTTCATTCGTTCAGTCGTCTCCGACTCTTCGTGACCTCATGGACCAGCCCACGCCAGAGCTCCCTGTCGGCCGTTACCACCCCCAGCTCCTCACGGTCAGTCCAGTCACTTCAAGGATGCCATCCATCCATCTTGCCCTTGGTCGGCCCCTCTTCCTTTTGCCTTCCACTTTCCCCAGCATAATTGTCTTCTCTAGGCTTTCCTGTCTCCTCATGATGTGGCCCAATTACTTCAACTTTGTCTCTAGTATCTTTCCCTCCAGTGAGCAGTCGGGCTTTATTTCCTGGAGGATGGACTGGTTGGATCTTCTCTGCAGTCCAAGGCACTCTCAGAACTTTCCTCCAACACCACAGCTCAAAAGCATCGATCTTCCTTCGCTCAGCCTTCCGTAAGGTCCAGCTCTCACATCCGTAGGTTACTACAGGGAATACCATGGCTTTGACTAGGCGGATCTTTGTTGCCACTGTGATGTCTCTACTCTTTACTATTTTATCGAGACTGGACATTGCTCTCCTCCCAAGAAGTAAGCGTCTTCTGATTTCCTGGCCACAGTCAGCATCTGCAGTAATCTTTGCACCTAGAAATACAAAGTCTGTCACGGCCTCCACGGTTTCTCCCTCTATTTTCCAGTTGTCAATCATTCTTGTTGCCATAATCTTGGTTTTTTGACGTTTAGCTGCAACCCGGCTTTTGCGCTTTCTTCTTTCACCTTGATTAGAAGGCTCCTCAGCTCCTCCTCGCTTTCGGCCATCAGAGTGGTGTCATCTGCATATCTGAGGTTGTTAATGTTTCTTCCAGCAATTTTCACCCCAGCTTTGCATTCATCCAGCCCCGCACATCGCATGATGTGTTCTGCATACAAGTTAAAAAGGTTGGGTGAGAGGATGCAGCCTTGCCGTACGCCTTTCCCAATCTTGAACCAGTCTGTTTTTCCGTGGTCAGTTCTGACTGTTGCTACTTGGTCCTTGTACAGATTCCTCAGGAGAGAGACAAGGTGGCTTGGATGCCCATCCCACCAAGAACTTGCCACAATTTATTATGATCCACACAGTCAAAGGCTTTAGAATAGTCAATGAAGCAGAGTAGATGTTTTTCTGAAACTCCCTGCCTTTCTCCATTATCCAGCGGATATTGGCAATTTGGTCTCTCGTTCCTCTACCTTTTCTAAACCCAGCTTGAACATCTGGCAACTCTCGCTCCATGTATTGCTGGAGTCTTCCTTGAAGGATCTTGAGCATTACCTTACTGGCATGAGAAATAAGGGCCACTGTACGGAAGTTTGAGCAGTCTTTCGCATTTCCCTTTTTTGGTATGGGGATATAAGTTGATTTTTTCCAGTCTGATGGCCATTCTTGTGTTTTCCATCTAATTGATACCAGCAGTCATTCAGAACAAACTTCTCTACAGCAAAAGGAATTAACTGGAGTATACAGTAAGTATTCAACTTTTTGTTGTTGAATATAAGGGACATCATTTTACTATACCATTGTATATGATGGACCTTGAGCACCTGTGAATTTTGTTATCCATGGGGGACACAGTATCCTGGAACCAAATCTCAGTGGATACCAAGAATCCACTGCAATTCCAAACTTGCTAGGATAATAATAATAATAATAATAATAATAATAATAATAATAATAACAACAACAACAACAACAACAACTTTATTTTTATACTCTGCCTCTGGAAAAACACAGATCAAAACATGACACAATAAAATAAAATCAAAATTAAAATAAAAATAATCAAAGAATAAAATAAACACATCACAATAACACCACACAACATCATAAAAGCAATCTTAGCCTGAATAGTAATAAATACTGAGCTCGGACGGCTTGAAGGGCTAAGAGTTTGTGTAATAGTTTCAGGACAGGGCTAAAGGAGAAGTGCAAAATCCGATAAAAGTTAGGGCTGGAAGGGTAATGTCATTTGGCATTGGGATGCCAGGACTATAGGGCAGGGGGCAGTGTTAAAGTGCAGGAGCTGTTGGTAAATTACAGTTAGGGGCCAGTTATTTGGTGAACTGTTTAGTCATAGGCACAATGGAACATCCATGGTTTTAGGACTTACTTTTTAAACAATATCAGTGGGTCATGAAAAAATATAATTCATTCATCAGGTCAAAAGTTTTTGTAGTGTTACAGCATCTCTCTGTACTGTTCCTTGTCTGGAACAATAGCTGGATATTCATTGGCAGAGAAAAGTGCCTCAAAGAGGCAGCAGCTACTTGAATATCACTGTCAGATTAATTATTGCTGGAGGGAAGCAGCAACTTGAACCTTTATGCAAGACATCTTAGGGTCCCACCATACTGCCCCTATACCAGAATCTGATCCCAAATTATCTGTTTATCCCAGGTTATCTGGCAGTGGGGACTCACATATTCTGGTTTAAAGTAG